GGAAAAAGGAGGGGTAACTAGTAAGCAGAAAGTTTTATTGGGAAATAAAATAATTTGATAGCTGAAGCATTACCTGGAATTCAGTTCCTTGGTGTGCTGCCAAGTCCCTGGCTGACTTTGGCAAGTTTGGTGTGTATGTATTACATCTATTACTCTTGTGGAAATTGTTAAAATGAATACACAAAACCAAATTCAGCAATCAGTACGGGAAACAATGCAAGGCAGTCATTTACGTGTCAAGAGATTAATCCCCCCCCAAAACAGCACAGATCTACTTGGATTAAAAAGGAAAATATTTTTATTAGTGAATTACTTTTTTTAGTTGCACTGTTGCTTCACGCTAACCGATGGTTCATTAACAAATCAAAGTATCAGTTTAAGCCAAGTAAAAAGGCAACAAATTTGAGTAAACATGGAGACAAGCTCAATTGTATTTTCTAGTATGTATAAATCAGTGTGATAGACTATCATAGGACACTTAGTAATGCTGTTTCTTAGAGTAACTACTTTGGAAACTGTAAGAAGGGCAAGGCTGTGCTGCATACCAGTCTGCCTAATTAACTCTCCAACTAGTGCAAAAGTTAAGATATTAGAAAGAAGCAGGACGCCCCTCTCAAGTTCAGACTGAGGTCCTCTGTAATTCCAGCATGATGTGCAATATTGCTGCCTTTTTTTTTCCTGAAGTTAGCTGTCGAGTAATTTGGGAACTGAAATGTAACTGATCACTTAGGGCTGAAGCGAGTCCATATTGCAGCCAGCTTCTAGCGTGCTTTCCACCTCTGTTGCACCCACGTCTGAAAAATTTCACTATTGTCAGCGTGGTGTATTCTCATCAATCCTTAGTCTAATTCAGATTCTCAGTTAACTGGGGTGTGGGAACTGAATTAAGAATAAACCTCACTGTTAAGCGTCATCCACAGCAGCACAGTTTATTTTTATAGTTTATACCAGTTTTAAAAGCGTACACCTATCAGCAACATACAGATTTTCCTATATAGTTCTTTGGTTTACAGCACTAGTCTTTATCTGACATTCAGGTTTCTCTTCCGCAGTGCAGAACAGTTCATTGCAGTTGCATGCATCCCATATGATGACTAGGCTCGTGTGCTTTACAAGCGAGACTAAAAGATGAAAAAAAGCAGCAAACACTAAAGTGTTCGCGCCCTGGACCAAATGTTCATTTTGTAAGCGTCATCCACTTTCAACCTGACAATTTTTGACAAACGGCAAACATTGCAAAACGTCAAGTAGTTACAAGCAGGGTAAAAAACAAACCTTGCTAATAAGGGGCTGCCAGACAGGGTCAGGTCCAGACTCCAGCCCTACAAGGCTAAACACATGAGGCAGACACTGAACTAAAAGGAAGCTCACACATGCGGTGGTAAGAACAGAATGCTGTACATTTTCAGAGGCAACTTTATTCACACTGGACCTTGCATCTGAAGTTTCCAGATGTGAATAGACTTTGGTCTCAGGTTCCAGAATAAGAACTTAAAGGAACTTAATTTTCAGAATGTTTTGGAAGTTAGGCCCTTTTAAGGGTTCTGATCTAGACCCAAGAAATAAGGCTTCCAAAGTGGAGTCACATGGGCATTGTGCACTTTACGTTTATGCTTGTTGACATCAATAGCCAAAAACACCCAAACCCAAAATGTTTTAAATGTGAATAGCAGCAGGGCATCAAATAGAGGCAGAACATCAACCTTCATGAAGACCGAGATGTAGAAACATCGAAGGGATTGAAATTAGTCCTTTCTCAGGTGGAAATATATAAAAATTCCTGCTACAGTAATTTTTCATGACCTGAACATAAAAGTGGTTTGATAATTTTTCTCCAAAACTTTATGTAAACGTTCTTTGCCTCAGGGCTAAATACAGGAAATTACAGCCCACACCGATTTTATAGGGGGAAAAATGTCATGGAGCTAAAATAGTTATTTATAGAAGTAGTTACTTGCAATTTTAATTATGGCTCCCTTTCAGACATCCAAACAAGTTAGCACAAGATTAACTCAAAACAACAAACACGTCAAATGTGAAGTTCTAAGGCACAAAACAGTGTCATAGCAGGAGAATATTTATTCCACCTTGAGAGGGAAATGGCTTGCATTACTAGATAGGAAAAGCATATAGAACTATTTGAATAGTGCAGGACAAAAAAAGGGTCACTCTGTGAAAGGCATGTTGCGTAGTGAAGTACCTCACTTGATTCATCAAGCTAAAGAATTATTCTTGTGCTTTGACAGAACTGAACTCCCATCTACAAACCACTGTCCTGTGCCACCTAAATCTTCAAACGTAATGCGTGTTCTACAAAAGGCCAGTCCGATTAGGGACGGTTGCCAGTAGAAACACCTCAGCACTACAGTCTTCAGTACACCACCATGCTAGATAGGTTGCTTTCTTTGTAGGTGTTCTGCTGCTTTTCTTCATACGTCATTTTCTAAGTGCGTGTGCGTGAAAAAGGATTTCAGATTATGGGAAGTTAAATTTGCTCAGGGAGGAGCCTCAGGTAAGATGCAAGATGCCTGTTGCCAATGTTTCACTTCATACCAATCCAGTCTTAGGGACACATGCAGCACGCAGGCTGCAGTTTGGCAGCCGTGTGGAGGCTGTGAGTAGATTCCCAGCTGTGCTGCTATGACCTACACAAATCCAGCCTCGGGGCCATGTGGTTTCCAGTGTTCCCAGAGTATGGAGCTTGAATTTGTTTCCTTGAGTTTGAATTATCCTTTTCACTGTACTACCACAAATAACATTGAATCTGTTCACAGTTCAGGGATGCATTTTACACAGTAATGTAACTGTGTTAAAAATTAAAATCAAGAAATAGTATCCTTTGGTGGAGTAGGTAACAGCCAGATCCATTTGGCTTTTCTGGTTATTCTTCCAGTGCTTTTTCCTCAGCCTTAAACGCTATGAGACATGTTCCCAACCAAATGTAATGTATTAAATTACTGCACTATAATTTAAGTCCTGGCTTAATTCCTTTTGCCACTATTTGCTTTAAAAATGGCTTTAATATTAAATGACAGGAAGCTCAAATAGCACTGGAGTGCTAGAAAATTTGTTGAGAACACTTGGGAATTCTAGCTTTACATACATCTATTTTATGCCATAAAGTGCATTTATTTGCTTTCTAGAACATGATCCAAATCTATGGAACCAATCTAGTTCCAGGGGTTTTGTACACAGTCCCATGGTTTGTGTGTTTTAAGGAACCAATAAAGGGCAGAAGTGCGAAAGCCAGGAAGGTGCAAATGATCTTGGTTAGATGAGTTTAGGCCCTGTGCAGTTACTAAGGACTGTATGAAATAGCACAAAATCAGGAGTGAACAAGATTGTAAAGCAGAAATATGTGAATTCTGTGCCCATCGTAGACATCAGACTTTAATGGTTTCAAAGTCTTGTTAATTGCATCTGTCCTGCTGGTATCGGCACACCCAGATCAAAAAAAAGTGACTGCCCCTGTTTAACGCCGAGGAAAACACTCAGAAAGGGTAACCTGCCAGCAGTAATTGTAGGCAAGTATCAGATTTGGGATTAGAATACAACTAGCTTATTAAATGTTCAAATTTTTTCTTCTAGCGCAATTTTCAGTTAAATTTATAACTGACTTGATAAGAATTAAATATTTGCTGGGCCTTGTGCCTAATCCATGTATCCGTCCCCTCCTTTTGTTTGGATTGCTTGTGTTCTCCCTGCTTACCTCTATCCTCATTACATTTTCTTCTCTTTGATTATTATGGGGAAAGTTTATTAAATGAATTAAGTCATGCAGCATCCTTTGGAAGCAGCTTGATTTGATGTTAGATTTAGTTCTTGGGTTGTTCAGAATAGGTGGAAGCTCTCAGATACTAACTACACACCTACGAAAAATCTTGTCCTGGAATGTGTTAGCCACAGGAGGCAGCTGGCTCTCTGGGCTGTGACACCTGTCATTAAACGTTTTAATATGTTAATTACTTTACAGGATTAAAACCATAATCTTAAACTAGCACTGGAAATTGGCAAGAGGCAGTAACAGAACCTGTGCGTTAGCCGTGTTATCTCTGTGCTGTTCAGAGAAGAATATTATAATCTGCATAAACTGGGGTTCGTAACATCTTTGGATTGCTGTAGTTTACTGTACCCACAACCAGCCTCAGGAGGAAGAAATTTATCGCCTCATTCAAGTAGTATATTCAGTCAAGTAGTAGCATAAGAACTCAAATGCCTAGAAGTACCACCCTTTTAGTAAAGCAGACACGGGTAAGTAGATCAGTCTGTTGGCTAGGGGCTTGAAGCTGAACATTTTCCCCTGTGTTTTAGGGGAACATCTGAGTGCAAGTTTACCTTTAGTCACGTAAATACCTGTCACTACAGCATTTTGCAGAATCAAGTCCCATATACCTAATTTGTTAGAATACATTATTCCCAGACATGCCAGTTTGCTTGCAAGTACTGTGGTTCATCACATGAAGGATTTAAGAATTAAACGTGCATAGGACTGCTCTTGCCACTTCACATGTTTATGGTTGGTTGTTCAGGGATAGGATTTTTTTGTATACAAGATGAAAATCAATGCTGGTGTGGGCACCTAAATTCTTTACTTTTCCTCTGTAAAATGTGTTTTTAAACATAATGTTTACCTTGAGTTTCCACCTACAGAAGTTACAAGTGATCTTTTATCAAGAAAAAGCCTTAAGAAGGGAACAATTTTACCTACAGAAAATCAGAACCTGGGCTAAAAATAAAAAACCAGGAGTAGTCCCTTATGGTCTCTGATCAATTTCTCTCTCTCTTTACTTATATAGGGAAACACTTGAAAAATGATGAAGGGCAGGATATGTAAATAAACGCTTCAAGAAGAGGAACAGAGATAGTGGTTCTTTGAAAAGGACTAGTACTTGTGTTATTTTTAAGTTCTTTTCTCACATTTGAAGGGATCCAAACCATTAATGTGTGTCCATCCAGGTTTCAGCAGACTCCTAGAAGTTTAAACAAGTGCACTGAAAAAGTTTGTGTTTGTAAACATTTATTTTCTTGAACTGAAAAAGGCTTGCATCAGCACACATTGTACAGCCTTGCAAATTACACAAATTGAAAAAAGTTTGTTTCTTTTATGTGCAATGAATCTTTAATGTCCAGTGAGCATCTGCAAATGATGAAAAATTAAACCATTAAAAAGGTTTCCAGCACTTATCAAACACAATTATCTTAGCGTGAAAAGGAAGAGAAAGAGATCCATACTGGTGGGAACACAATTAAAGTGCAAACATTTTGTCACTTGTGAAGATACATTTTAGTTTCTTCACGCTTTTGCTAAAAAGAAATATTAAAATGTGATTCAGTGAACATTCTTCATAACCTATTCATATTCCCCCTCAAATAATTATTAAAGTTGTTGGATCAGAAGCAAATCCTTCAAGGGTACAAGCTACTTGTAATTTCTTTTGACATTGCTTGAATGAATCTCAAAAGAAAATGACCATCTAAGGAGTTAGTTACTAAAATTACATTTTTTTTCCTTAAAAAAGAAAAGCAAAAATACAAGGGACAAAGAACAGGTTAACTTGAAGATTTGGGGTAGTTTACTAGAAAATGAGTGTAATTGCTTGAAAATGGTTCTCTTTTCCCCTCCACCAATCCTCAGGTTCCTGCCTTGGAATGGACAGCTGTGTGCTGGCTGTGAAAAGGGATTATAAAATACAAATCTGAATATGGATTTTTATGAACGTTTGCTGTACAATAGAACTTTGGATCCGATACAAGAATTCAAAAATATAAAACAAAACTACTATAAAAGTAGGGGGCATTCCAACAGCATTCCTTGTAGAAAGCTGCCTGTCTCAAAGATGATTCCTTGCTGTTGTCTGGGATTAACTCTGTATTTTATTTTTTTCTTGCTGGATCACGGGGTTATTTATTCTTCAGTGGCTAATGTCATATGACCAAACATCCCAGGAGTCTCTATGAAGAGAACAGAAACCCCATCACATCAAGCCAATCAAGGAGAGGAGGACATGGAAGTAGTAAAGGCTGAGTGTCCACTGATGTAACCGCTATTGAGAACTAGCCCTTTCCAGAACATGAAAGTCGTAGTGCTTCTTGCTTGTTCTCAGCCTGAACTTGTTCACTGAGGTACTGCTTTTTTTTTTTTCCATGGCTCAGTGTTCACACTACTATCTCCATTGCCACAGTAACGACGATGGTGCTGCTGCTGTGTTTGTAGACGCTGCGAATCCCTTAGCCACCGGATCTTGGCACCAACTTTTAAAAGTTCTCCAAATAGTTTTTCTGCTTCCACACGAGTTATGCCTTCTGGCAGTTCAGTAATTTCTAGAACTTTTCCCACAACTGAAACAAGAAAAACACTGAATCAGAATTGGTGTTGTGCTTAGCAATACAACAAACACAATGGAAGTTATTTCATAATTGTATCTCCAGCTGGCCGATACCAAATACACAAGGCATTCCATTTCTAGTATTCTAGAGAGCCGATTGCTTTCACATTTAGCACTGCTTGCAGCTACAAGCATACAAATAAAAGCTGTGAATACAGAGAGGGCCCTCAAAAGAGAGGGGAAAAACTAATAATATAACACCTAATTTTGCAGCAGATTTGAGAACTCACTACAGCATCTCACTGACTTCGCCTTTTAACTGCACGCATCACTGTGTTAAAAAACTACTCTTCCCTCCCAAAATCCTCTCCAGCAAAGTATTAGGAAAAGCTGATTTATCTGTAACTTTCTGCAAAGGGTTGACAGTAGGTAACACTTGCAATAAAAATTATTTCCAGTAAAGATACGAAGATAGATGATGTCAGGTTTTTATCTGGATGACATCTTGACCAACTCCAAGGAGCTAATCTGTAGATCTCTATGTTACCCAAATCCGCGTGCTTATTTGTATTGGAAAGAAAAAGAAGCACAGACTGATTTGTGGTTTGTGTTTGATTTCACATTTCATGCAAGTAAAAGGACTGGAGTATGTGTATTTAATATAACAATATTTAGTGTAACACTATCATAGAACTTACGTCCAGTAAACAGAGAAGCTTGCTTTTCGTTTTGGTACTGTCCAGTCCTGATCTGCTTTTTCTCCAGCCTTCATAACAACACTTTTCTCATTTAACCTCCCTCTTCCCCTCTTTCCTAATCAAGTCTTCCTCTCTATCCTTATGTTTCCAGGGTTTGCCATTTCTGTCCAATTACCCTTCACTCCGGCCCTTGTCTCACTTGTGCTTTTCCTGTCACATTCCCAGCCCATCACCGTAATTCATTTTGTTGGAGGACTGACTGTGTCAATCAGCAATTTCATACCTGATTCTCCTGCACCAAGATCTGCTGAAGCAGCCTTCTTTGCTGGCTTCTTTCCCTTGTTTCCATGTCTGTTTCCAGGCTGACACTGGAAAGATTGACATAAATGATGTACTTTAATGACAGTGCATCAATAGCTTAAAATTTCTAGGTTAGCTCAGTGAAAAAAGGTGCAGAGGAATGTCTGGAATATAACCTGTGCTACCATGGTACAGAATAGATTTTCATGTCCAGTTTTAATCTTGGAGTTAGCAATCCTACAGGCACATTCAGTCCTTGGCGTCAGAAAAAAGGAAGCAGGTGATGGAAAAAAAAAAAAAAAATCACCTTAAATCTTCTTGCAAGAAAACACCTGCTGCACCCCCCTCCCCCCCATCCATCACATCTTCTGGTTGATCTTGGATAGAACTGAGCAAGGCAGAGCTAGGGGGTCTGTGTGTCTGCCCCCAAAGGTAAAATAGATAGCAAAACAGTTTATTTTTGCTAACACTAATATTTTGGTTTTGTTTTTCTTACAAGAAACAAAGCCACTCTTTGTCTAGAAATACCCACATGTATTTTATTTTTTTGAAATTGTTATTCAAATAAAACAAAATCCTTTTAGCAAGCGTTCTCTCTGATTTTTGGAACTGCTGGTGAATTGCTTAAAAAACCCCACCACAATCTACACCGTGCCTAAAGCTAAAATTTCAGGAAAATGTTTCTCAGTTTTTTTTGTTTTTAATACAACAAACAAGAACAATGGGAAGTATCAACACAGAATGGAACCGTTACTAGAAAGCAAGCACCTTCCACTCAATTACTTTTCTAATGCAATAACATATTTCCCTGTTCACAGTGGTTATAATGTTAGTCCTGAATTGTTTTTTTTTTTAAAATGTTGCCAGGAGTTTGTTCTCTTTAATACCTGTTGGCTTGTTACTTGTCCACGTAATAAAGATGGTGGATTGTATTGCAGGGGTTGGCCAAGCAATGGGTATCTGGCATCTCCTTAAAAAGAAAGGTAATTAGAAGGGTTTCTGCTACACGAAATCTTCCTCCAAGTCCCTCTTACCATGTATGCTTTACACAGAAGAGAAAGCAGAGTAACTATGCACAAAGCAGTGTATTTGGCTAGGCTAACACAGTAAGATCTGGCATGGTTAAACAAATGTCAGTCACGCACTGATCACAAGGTGAAAAGGTCCAAGCTTTCTTGCAGTTAAGGATTATACCGAAAAACACACTACAAGTTTTTCTTCATTGCAGTCTTATCTAAATCCTCTCATTTCAAAGTGCGCTTAATAAGGCTAAAGCTCCTCTCAGTGTACTAATTTAATCATTTTCATGGTTATATCCCTGATTAGTGCCAGGTACATCTTTACATGTCTGTTTGCTCCAAGGATTCACGAAGACAATGGAATAGAAGTTTTTAGTAATCACAGAAGATTAAGAAAGTCGAGAGGGATACTTTACAACGGGCAACCTGAAATTTTTACAATATTGGAATACAAAGCAATGACAAAGGTCATTGGAAGGACCAATGACAAAAGCAATTACAAAGGTCATTATGCAGAAGGTAAGACAGACAAGAAAATAAAGGTTTTCTTTATTAATAGGAAAGACACACAGAATTTTCTCTAAGTGTTGCTTCAAAGTAAATCTTTCTGTAAAACAGACCCATTAATTTTGAGTTTGGGAACTATACCAGGATGTCTTTGCTCACTGATAAAAGGGGGTTTTTTATCATTTTTATCATTTTATCATTTGTCTTTATCAACTATCACATCTCAGTGAAAATGCCCTTTTTCTGTTCTTCTGTTAACATGGCAGCAGAGGATTGAAATTATCCTACAAGGAATTTTTTCTGTCTTTTTTCTGTCTTTGGTGGGTACTATTTGAAATACAAATTGAAGTCACAACAGTATTGGATTGAAGCTGTAAGTCCCATCATGCTAGTTTTTCCTGCAGAGGAATCAAAAATCAAAAACACAGCTTAGGCTGTGGTTTGATTCAGTGCATCATGAATAAGTGAGTCGGACAGAACACTCATCTCAACATCGCATTTCTTATCCTTTCCCCCAAAACTCCCATCTAATGTATTAAGATCAGCTAGTCCCACATTATTTATTTTACCTTTGTAGCTCTAAAATTGCATCCTTTATGACAGCGTGTGTCAAGTTCTAGATTTATGGTTAAAGCTTGAAGCTAAATTATATCAAACATTTCATTAATATTTTCAGTGCTGGAACAGGGAATTTCACATACGAGAATGCTAGTGGGTTGTAGAGGCTCTCACAACAACAAGAAGATCAAAAGCTTTTGAGAACACAGGGGATGGTGTCAGCACAGAGACATAAGGTGAAATTTTACATGATGCTTGTGTGGATAATTTTGATGACCATATAACTTGTATTTTAAAACATTCAAACAAAAAACACCCACACATTTTATAAAAAATATACCTTGTCCAGGGACAAAAGGTCTAGAAAACTGGGACACAATAGAAAGCGGTGTTAATGTGGGACGGATGTTCTTCATGTTTGGTAGCTGAGCTGGTGCTGGTGATTGGGCCGGTGAGGTGACAGGACTACCTAGTTGAGGACTATGCTGCAACTGGAATAAACAACAGGTTAGGGTTTTAAAAAGTGCCTAGCTGAACAAGCTAAACAGCACCTACAGACAGCATTCAAAGACTGAAGTAAAGTTAAAATAGCTAAATTAAGTACTATCGGAGCAGGTTTTTATTCCCCAAAAAGAACTTTTGAAAAAACACGCAAAGACGCAATTTATGCAAATTTTAAGTCATCCTGGAAAACAAAGCAAAAACCTTGTACCTGTGCAGCACTGTCTAAAGTGCTAAGTTCTGTGGACTTCTGTCCCCTCTGATGATCACAGTAATACTTATTCTGTTTCCACTGTGGAGGGGAATGGTTCCGAGGCTGAGCGTTGTTAGGTATATTCAGCTGCATCATTACTACTCCCCCACCTGGTGGTGGTGCTACCGCTGCAAGACAAGGAATCGGCAGGCTACAGTCAGTTCATCATACATTTCCATTTTAGCAGCACAGACATGAATTTAAAAAAGAGAAATAGCATAATGAATGTTTTGCTAAGGAAGCTGCTGAATCCTAGAAAACTAGAGCAGTATCTTCTGTACAATTATATCCTCACTATCAGATAAATCTGTGAGAGCTATCTTAGAGGGCTTTCCAGAACTACAAAAGATAGTGGAGCCACTGAAACTCATTATTGAGAATATTTTTGAAATAAATCCTTCTATTTAATAATAGTTGAAAGTATTCAACATTCACTGTAGTTACTGTCAGAGCAACATATTGAAGAACATGTGATGTTAAGTAAAAATATGCTTTATTTAAAAATAGAAGTTACCTATTTAGTTTTACATGATACACAGCAATATGGACTCAAAATGTTTTCTCCAATACGATGGCATACATCAGAAAGACCTGGAATCAATCTTTAGTCTGAGGCAAAATTACCCTCAGTTAAAAGTTCCATATAGGAACGTTTTTCTGGGCAGAGACTGCAGATGGATCCCCGCGTCCCGTAGCTGCTGTGGTAGCCACCGGAGTGCCCAAGCCAGGGCAGAACAGCCAAGTAGCTGATGCTGCTCCATGAGTTTTTGCATGAGGAGGCGTGACCAGAGGCTGCCCCAGAGAGAAGCTGTCTTCCCCCTTTGACCTGGATCTGTCCCAGGTAATTCATACAATGTCCTGTTTACTTGTAAATGGTTGTTTGCAATTTCCTTCCCTACTCTACCCACTGTTTACAGCGCTTCTCAGAAACCATGATTAAATCATTTAATCACCCACCTACAGGACCTACAGGCCTCTCAATTTACTACCTACGTCACAGCATCAGTTAGGAGCAGTCAGATACAGATCATAAAATGCATTCATCTTGTATTTTTTAAAATGGGCTATTTGTCAAAATGGGTTTTCATTACCCCTGGGCTCCACAAAAAGAAACAGTCTCTCTTGAAAAGCAAACCAAACAATGTAGAATAAGGAACTCATATTAAAACTATATTAGCTCTTGTAAACTGTATTCTGAAGTAGTCGCTATATTGATATTTACAAAAATAAAGTAATAATAGTAATGTTTTCACATCTATACTTTCTTTTTAATGGCAAAAAGTTCTACCCATGTGTTACAGACTGAAATGGAAGCAGCAGATATCTGGCCAACTTCAGCAGAGGATATAAATTTAAGAGTCCCTGCTCTGTCCCTAATAAGGGCCACATGGCACATATTTCTATTTTGTTGCGCAGCAAAAATAAAATATAACTGTTTGTGGGTATCTGCCACACAGTCAGAATAATACATAACACAGCAGCTTCCAGGTGGTAAAGCCATAAACTTAACATAATCCCTATTCGTAAATCTGAGATGTACCAGACAAACATCTGTGTACACACACTACATTTAAACAAGAAAATTGGTTTCATGTTAACATTTTATGCATATATTTATAAATATTATAAGCACTACTTATTTTACAGTTTTGTAATATTACAGCATTTTATTCTGCAGCACTCCACTCTCTTGACTGATCTCAGTTCTGTGACAAGTGAAGACCCAACAAAAACACGCCTGTCTTCTGAAACCATCTACTGCACCATTTCTAAAAATAGTCAGTCTGAAAATGCTATTTAAACTGCAAAAGAAAACTTTGTACATCCAGAAATACTTGCTCTTTCTACTACTCCTAGTTCCACAGCATTTCAGTACGTGAAATAAATGGCATTCTTTTCCTAAACAAGTATGCTGAAGAAAGTGTCATAGAATGTGTAAGTCAGTTTGCAGACATTGCATCACCTGTCAAAACCCAGGAGAAGGGAAACCCAGAAGAAATCCCTGAAAGGCTTCCCAGATTTGCAGTCTGGTCCTCGATGAGTTTTTCAAATGAAAATAAACCTAACTCTGCTGCTTGTCTGCGTATGTCCTCATTGTCCTTACCTCAGTGGCCTTGATTCATCATCTCAGTGCCACTGGCTGAAATGCACGCTTTTCTTTACTCTCGCAAAATTTGTTCTACCTATGTCAGAGGGCTTTCCCCTTCCCCAAACTGCTTTAAATCACAGTTGAACAGGTTTGAATCAGGCCTTCAAAACTGCATAAAACCCACACTACCAGGACAGATTACGAGGGCAGAAGAACAAACTCGTGCGAGCCTGATTTTAGGTATCTTGAAATGACAGCCCTCCAGAATTAAAGCCAAACAAACTTGGAGCAAAATGGAAACAAAACCAAACATGCCCATGAACTAAAATACACTGCTAACCCAGTTCTCTTGCCACTTCACTGCCTGCTATCTATTTACTAATAAACAGGCTCTAAGAATATCTTAAATGTTCCTAAGAAAACACCACATCTGTAGTGGAATCTAGGTGACTGACCTAGGGTTGTTACAAGTACTCGCAGAGATGGCACTCAAGTTGCAGTTGTTCTAGCAGTTAGCCATGAAATCATCTGATAATTTACAACAGGTTTCTAGACAGAATGGCTTAGATGAAAATCCCAATAAAATATACCTTTTATTGGTTGCATGATGGAAAGACCAGTAGCTGAGCTTTTACATGATGAGGGTGGAGAAACTATGCTGTAGTGCACAATGGAAGCAGCCTGTTGTGGCTTTGACTTTGATGAAGGTGGCAATAATGTAGGAGGTGATGGCTTCTGACTTGAATGGTTGCTATAAACTATGAAAGTAAGAGCAGTAAATAAGGCTACCATAGAAAACAAAAACAAAACACCCCCACACAGTTTAGGAGTATTTCATCGAGCTTTTCAGCAGGTCAAAAATCTCCCTTTCCTCTCTATCCAAACCCAGAACACTTACAGTTTTCACCCTCTTCTCAAGAAGCCTTAAGAAAAATCACTACTCCTATTCCATTAAGCGAAATCTAGAATGCTGCTTGAGTAGAAGAGCCAAGTATGCTGCTTCCAAAATGTACCTTGCTTTTATTTTGTCAAATGTAAATCCAAATCACAAGTTTTTTAGACCCATGTAACTATTCAGGTAAAGATGAAAGTCATTCTGCTGAGAACGTAGCTCCCACATCTGTGCCAACTCACAAGCAGACATGCAAGGCATTACGATGGACATTACTGAATTCCAAGAACATAACTTGAAAGCTTTCAGTGATAAATAAATTGAGACGTCAAGTTAACCTGCCTCCAATATAACTTCATAAACGGAACACAGAAGGAAATACGATACAGTAGTTAATTCTAAGTCAGCCCCTTAATAGCAAATATCCAATCACCCAGCACAATAACAGCCAGACATTTTTGAAGTCTTCCAATAAAAACTTTATTCCCCCAACCTGCACACTGCTGTCCTTGAAGCTGCTGCGAGCTGCATGGTGATGATGTTCTAGGAAACTGTATTTGCTCTGATCCAGGAGGCTGCAAATATCCTACTGATGAACTGTAAGAACAATAATAATAAAAAAAGAACATGACTAACTGGCATTTTATGCTACACTTATTTATTTAATCATAACTGCTGCATCTGCTGTCTACACATACTACAAATCACTGAGGAAAATGGTAACTTTTATGGCAGGTATTTCTCAGGGCATTCAGGAGAAAAATAGGTAAGTAACAGGCATAGGCAAATTCTATCGTGCCACTGACTGATGGTACTGCCAGGGCCAGAACATCAGGTTGGTGGACGATGATCAGAATGGTGCCTATAGAACCGATACTTCCTTTCTGTACTAACAGATACAGCAAACATTCTGAGGGAATGAGGAAAACACACTACTGCTTCAAATGGGGGAAAAAAAGTAGGTGTAATCCTGTTGGACTTTAGATTTTTACCTATGTTGTCATGAGTAGTTTGTGCCATCCCTTGTCCTGCAGTTCAATGATATAATTTTAATTTAAAGCTTCCCTTCCATTAAAGCAAATAAGACTCAGTGAAAACTAAAACAGATGGTTTTACATCTGCATGGGACGTGTGCTCTCACATAGCTTCTCATCTGTCTACTGATCGTAGTTTTCAATTGTGACCTGGAGGTTTGAGACTATTCAGTTCCTGCAGAACAGCATCCCGCTTTCCCTGTCAAAGTGCTGCAACATCACTGTTTTGATAAAAGCAAGATGCTGTCGTTAGCCGCTAGTCTGCTCCGAGCTCCTAACAAACGTTTCCCTTTTCAAAAGAGAGGGACATTCTAAATGACGCAAAAGATCAAGCAACAAAACTTACTTCAAAACCAGTCTAGGATTATATCTACCTACCACTTCACTGAACCTCAAATACAGCCACAGAAGAAAAGGATAAAAAGAACCTTCAGATACAAAGAACAAGAATTCACACTGAAGTAGATGAAGCCATGCAGCGACAACACAAATACTATTGAAGTCTCTGCACTCACAAAAGGCTGAAGCAAGCTTCCTACTGTTGCTGCTTGTTTAAAAGCTGCAAGCAAGGTATTTTTAAATGATGCACATTTGTAAGTTCAAAAACCTAGAGAAAGAAAAATTTGTAACAAGCATTAATCCTAATGAATTCTTTTAGGTATCTGCCTATCTGTTCTCTCACAAATACACAGAGTGTGTTGGGGATGCGGATGTATACACAGGGAGGTCTGTATGCGTAGGCCAGTCTGCTGTTATCAAGGTCAGTAAAAAAAAAAAAGGAGTTATTTATCAAATAAAACCCAAGCATAGGAGGAAGTTCCTGTACTTGTTTCATAGCCACCTTTGTGCCAGCAGCCCTTGTCAGCTACACAGACAAAGTAAGCTAAGCTCCTTCCAGGCAAAGCTCCAAGAAAGGAAGAAAGTCAAGTCCTTTTCTGGGATTCGAATTCTCTTTTCTCTACACCGTATTAAAGTGGTATCTTTGACAAAACCAATGCGTACGGACGGTCAAATGTTACTGCAAAAAGGCACTGCTGCTGAGCTCACTGGTGTTTGATGTGTAAGAAAAGGAGCGCAGAAAACTGAAGACGTGGAACTACAGTAAAGTATTGCTGAAAGTGATACGGAAACAATGTTTTCCAGTTTCACAAGGATGTCCCAATTAAAGCAGCACTGGTGGTTTTAGTTAACTGCGTAAGAGCAAAAATAAATAGATAATGAAGAGCCTGTAAGTCTGCCTTTAAAATACATTTTAATATACGCAATACTACACTAGATCCTATCAGTTATTACAAGGCAAGGAAGCCTAGCTGCTGAGAAATCCGAGCTAACCGAGTTAAACGCACCTTAAATTGTTCTGTTGACCTGATGGAATGACACTGTAGTAAACCGGCATTCGTGTTGTGGGCAAGCCTTGATTTGACTGGCTGGGAATTATAACAGGCTGTTGATAGGTCTGCTGGGGCACTGCTTGGGAACCTTGAGGCACCGAAACCTAAAATTGAGAACACATTAGGATTTTCTTCTGCAGACAATGTTTTCTTTCTGCCTCTTGACCATCACCTAGTTTATATAAGATTTAAAAAAAACAACCCAGGAACTGAAAGATCTGCTGGAGTTCTCTAAATCCAGAAGACTAGTGGTAACAGTAGTTGCAATACTAGTGCTTTATTAAAAAAACCTCTTCATTTTCTTCCCCGAAAATGGAAGTGTTGGTTCCAAGGGACTCCATCAAACTAAAGAGATTTTCTGTACAACAGGGAAATCTTAGGAGCTTTTTCTTCCCCATGCTCTGGATTGCAATTAACACAGCACTTGGCATTCGGCAGGACTTGAACTTCCACACTTGGGACAGATTTTCTTTTCACTTCAATTGTGGGATATTTTTTTTCATTTTTGAACTTGTCCCCAGAGTCACCTTTGACACCTGCCTGCAGCTTTCTACCGCTTACAAAACAGTACACTTAAAAAAAAAAAAAAAAAAAATCACTCCAACACACAGAATAGCAATTGGAAAGTTGTGAATAAATTACCCACCTGATAAGATGGCACTGAAGGGTATGGAACAATCACACCTTGAATTTGATTCCCAACATTGTTGTGCTGGCCACTGACTAGATTTTGATTCTGGGACTGCTGAACTCCGACTAAACCCTGGTAGTTTTGCTGTTGGTTAGGCAAAACCTGGTAACCTGAAATTATACATTTAGATCTTATTTTGAAATAATGAACACATTTTATACAGAGTTGCCTATGTGAAAACGCATGTGTAGCATTTTCCAGTGGCTTTTTACATCTGGCAACTTCATAAAAGAGTAGAACTTATCATGCATCTAAAAAGAAACCAACAATAAAATTAACAGATTTATTCATTCGGATCCAGCCTGAACCACTACAGATACTATTTGCAATGCCGCTCTCACATGCTTGCAATATTTATTTACACTCTAGTGAGTTACATGCATTAACACCTTGACTTGATAGGTAAAAGCTGAAAGCATTCAAACAAAGCATGCTAGATAGTATCAAAACCAATTATTTGTCTATTACTATAAACAAGGCCATTCTAGGTACTTTAGTTTTGAAATTCTAGTTATGCTAAATTCTGCTAGTACCTCAGGTGCCCGAGGGATGAGAGTATCTCGACCACGATTCAAAAAGGAATCACATTTCAAGAAAATTTGTTTAAGGCATGTGCAATTTCTACTAAAATCTGTACTGCTAAAAACAACTGTGAACTGAGAAAAATCTTCCAGGTAAAAGCTACATTCATATACAGTGGCAGACATTTTACATTCAAAGCGATCTTGGGGGAAAGAAAGATGTTCATGTTTGTCCCTCTACAGCATCTGTACAACAGCATGTTATCGCTTAAACTCGTATCCTCCACTTTTTCAAAAAGAGAAAAAAAAAAAAAAAAAAGAAAAGAACAACACACAACCCCAAACCTTCCAAAACAAACAAAAAAGCCCCATACATGAGTGCCAAACAGGAAATCTATGCATTTATTAGGTCCAACCTTAATTGATAAGAAATACCAAACCACAAAGCCAGTGAAAGCCATCTCTGTAGCAAGTACCAAGCAGTGGTACTGATGGGGGCATAACCTCTTTTCCAAGAGAAAGCTTCAAAAATTTTTTTTTTTTTTTTTTTTTGGTGCATCTTAGGTAACTGCTACCACGATCAAAACACATGCAGAACACAAGTCAAGTTCTTCGTGTCATATTCCAGGACACAGGTATGTTCTACTTACCATATCAGCAAAAACCCCATAACTATCAGTGTTTCTGAGACAAAGCCAGGTATCGCTCCAGAGTAACAAAACTGGGCTTGTCGAGACGCACTGATGGCAAAAAGAGTCTGGATTTGACTTGAACACACTCATGTTCTACTGACCTTTATATTCCCCATGCTCCCTACCTTGGTAGGGAACTATCATAAAGCAAATATAGGTGCAAAAATTCATTTGGATGCTTTTTTAAAACTGTGTTTAAAAAATTGCACAGTCTGTTTTGAAAATAATTGGTCAGTTAACACTAAACACTTCTTTTGTAAACAAACCCCACCAATGTTCATTGATTACATACAGGGTACAACGAACATTGTTAATTCAGTCTCATCTGGCTGTCTATAGAAATTGCAACAATTAAGGCTAAAAAAGACTGTTAGTATGATCAGGTATTGCTTCAGAAACCTAGAGCTAGTTATTAGCAACACATAACACTAAGTATTTTCAGAGTAAATACACAAAGCTTCAGAACAATGCATGCTTGAATCAGGATTAGTAATCAGAGTTTTTAATAACTCTTAAATTTGAACTATGCACAAAAACCCATCTCATATCTGTAATAAACAAAATACTTAACTGTACTTTGTTATGAAATTATCTATGGCACCTAAACAGCAGCAGAATGCAAAGTTGCAGCATATGACAGACGCAATCAATACACCTGCAATCTAAACCCCTCATTTCCCAGAAATTGCAGTGTAGCTGTGAACATTTTTCAGCTTTTTCTGGCACTTCCAGAGACAGACATCATCAATTTCGCAAGCTGAGAGAACTGGAACAATGTAAATCGACTGCCAAGAAGGCTCCCCGCAGCATTCTGAAGAATGCTCTATTTTTAGCTGCACAGTTTCACCTCCATGTAGAGAGTGGTCTGATAGAAATGCCGCGCTCAGCAGAAAACCCACACCTGCCATAGCAGGTTCTCTCATTACACAGAAATGCTCTGAAACAGTAGACAGTAAAAAAAGAAGCATGCTTCTTAATATTTACAGAATTAAAAACACTGTTCATATCAGAAAAGTTAACTTGCAGAACACAGAAATACATTTTCTGAATAGCGCATTAAGAGTGAAAAGCAGCCTTTATTCAAGAACAGAAAAGCAGGTCCAATCGCTTGGCTAACAAGCTGTGAGTGTAGCTTCCTGACAGCTGTTACAACTACAGCTATTACTACAACCGCAATACTTTTATCGCTGGCCCCTGTGACGCAGAAGCTAGGTGACCTTCAGCTGATGTTCCTGCAGTAACTGTAGTTCAGATAAGACTTTTCATCAACCTGTAGTTAGGGCTTATGGGGTCTGGGCCCCACGGTATCACAGCTTCAGAAATGCCTTTTTCTTAAAGAGACTTTTCTTCTGGGCAACGAAGGCATTTTAATAAAAGTGAACCCCCGAAATACTTCCCCTGAAACCCCTTTAAAAAGGAAGCCAGGAAGCAGCTGAAAAAGAGACCGGTTCACTGTGAGAAATGTAAACCTCTCAGACAGTGTTACGGCCCCGAATCCAACAGCTCATCAGTAAAGTCAGGCCAGTCCATAACGGTAAACTGAACGTGGCTTCAGCTGCCATGTTCCCAGAAGCTGTCATCTTTTATCTCAGTTTGTGTTTGGAAAGTTATTTCATAGTTAGCAACCACTTTATAAGATGAATAAACCCCGCAGCTTTTATGTAATAGAAGATTCATTCATTCTTGTTTTTGACCAGACATGTTGCTGTATCAGCCAAGCAGCATGCTGCCTTTTGTCTCAAAACCAGCCGTTGCCAACAGCATCAACCATTTCAGATGTAGCTTTGTGTCAACTTAATACCAATATTTACAGTTTAAAATAAATCCATGAGAAACATCATTTCAAATTACACCATCTCATGAGCAGTTTACAGAACACAAATCACGACGTGGAACCTTCCGCCTCTAGAAAGTCGATTCAGATCTCCCTCTAAAGCAGTAAGTGAGAGCCAGCAATGGCCAGGTAGTGACGTGGAGATTCTGAGCTAAACACTAGTTTTGCAGTTGCTAGCAAAATACTTCTCTCTACCATTAGTGCTAGGAAGCACCAAGCAACCAAACAGGATTGAGTGGCATTATTGGCTGGGCCACCCCTTCACTACTTAAACGTGATCCCTTGGCATCAGGGTTACATGGAGGTGGTACATTATGGCAGTAGCAAAGGAGCTGTCTGCACAGCCTGCTCATGTTGTTTCTTCTAGGCCACCGAGGGAGACGTTAGCTGCTGCAGCTTTTGACCCTGGCCACATTGCAGGCAGTGAAATCCAATTACAACGTAAAGAGCTAAAAACATACCAGAAAGAAACTTACTTACCTAACAGCAACCGATTCGTCCCTGTGCATCTGGGTGCTGACGCACCGCCACCCCATGCTTTCAAATTCAGATTGCTTTCCTTAGCTACATACACACACCAGGCTCTCTCGACTCAGAGCTCGGGTGGCCCCGTAACTGGGGAAGGAACCCCAGCTGAGCCTCAGGCTTTTGCTATTAAGTAGCCTAGGTCTTAAAAATTCTGAGGAAGGAAAGCAGGTTGTGTAATACAGTTGGATAACAGATCTTTCATACCAATAGATAAAACAAGCTGCAAAAAAGGAGTAATTGGTTCTCCTTTGAGAAAACATCAATATGCTTTCACTTCTGAGGAGTGAAAACTGATGATCTCCTTAGCAATAAACAGGTACTAACAATATTTAAAAATGATCTGACAACCCTACCATAAATGGGAATCACGTCTTGGTGATTCTGCAGTACAATAATCCTGCCTGAATTTGTGAACTGAACCCTGAGCAACAAGTTCAGGTGTTGCTGCTACTGGAGCACTTCCTAGGACTGCAGAAGAGGGAGCCACCCCTCTTACGGGCGACTTCACAGAACAGCTATAAATAAAATCCAGTTAGTATTTGTAAAAGCCGAGCTTTCATCCTGCTTCTGTAGAGCAACACATAGTTAGGGGCGGTGGGAGGAACTAAAAAGTGCTTCTTCCTGAAGGAAACTCAAAAGTCTTTACTAAAAATAGGAGGAGCAGAAAACTAATTCTAACCATTTAAGCCTCCTTATATATTCTGTTCAATACCCAGATACCTTTAATCATAGGACAGAAATACAAATTAGAAGGGTATCACCAACAGTATCTTCTGCACAGAGCTCTTCATGCCACAGCATCTAACATCAGCATCTTTTACTTCGAACTTTCAGCTGAGGTACATCTCTGCAATGTCACATCATTTAAAGGTGTGAATTCATCTTACTTTGCAAGTTACTACGAAGCTAGTAACTAAGTACAAGCTTTTTAAATTATTCAGTTCTAAACTTGAAAAAAAAATTATTATCCTATAATTAAAGTTACAGCATGAGCCGCTCATAGTAATGGCTGACATCTCAAGCTTTGTGAACAACTGACTCATTTTTCCACCTTAGGTTAGCTTCACTTTGTATCCCATATTTGAAATTATACAGCAAAATAAGTTCAAAAAGCAAAACCAGAAGAAAACGCACACGAGGTGTTTTAATGAAATGCTGAGAAGGTTCAACAAACCTGTCTGCTGTCCAGGCTGCGCCAAGGGCTGGGTTTGCTGCGTGCTGTAATGGACAGAAACAGGGCGGTATTGCTGACTGGAGTGCGGGTACTGACTGGGGGTACAATAACAAGCCGGCATCTGAAACCAAACAACAGTTAAAGAGATTCACTACCTGCAAGTTTACAGAAGGGAGACATCGAAATGCAAAAAGAATCACATCATAAAAGAAAGATGCAAAACTTATGGAGAGGTGCAACTAATGTGAAATTATTTAGAATTTAAAAAATACTTATACTACATAAATTCCCTCTTTAACAGCCAGTTTCTTCTACTTCCAGTGTAGAAGTAACAACTCATAATTTCCACAAAGAAATATCTAAGACACTACAAAACGACGCAGAACCTGAGTTTTACCAGCTACAGGTAAACAGGAAAACCTGGGTGCTTATTGCTCCTCACATCAACCGAAGTCATTCATTTCAAAGCACCTCAGCCAGGAAAACCCCCAGCCCCAGCACAAACGCCCCCCACCCTATGGAAAGCTCCTTCACAGAACTGTTTTCAGACACAGCTTCTGGGAGGATGGAAAGAGAACCCCTGCACCTGTGGCACAGGCTGCTGCATATATCCCTGCTGCTGGAGGACTTGCTGGCTGACCGGGTGGCCGGCTGTTGGAACATGGCGGTATGAGGCTCAGCTGCATCCGCAGGCGGCGGGCGGGCAAGACTCAGCTGGCTGAACTGGGATCCTAGGTTGTCTTGCTGTAACAGTTACAAAAAAGGAAAAATTACACCCAAGAAAAGAAGAAGAAAATAGCCAACCATCTCAGTCAGTATGAGATACGCATGTCTCGAATTACTGTGCATTAGCAGCACCAGCCAAAGACCAACAGCAAAGAACCAGATGGAACACAGGGGTAAATCATCTTCAGGGCTGAGGGCAGGGGAGAACATCCACACTCGGAGACTTCACTCACTGCACTGCAAATACTGAATTTTTGGATTACATCTGCCTCTATCTATTTATTGTAAGAATTCAGTTGTCAAAAATCAACTCAGAATTTGTGTCACTAACGTTTTCTGATAGGACTCCAAGGCTTGAGTGAAAGCACCTAACCCCGGTTAAAACATCAGAAGGCATTAGTATTGCTAAAGTGTTTTATGAGCTAAAGTTACTGAGGGTCTAATTCCAAATAACAAGGTACATTCCTCTAACTTGGTACGCTACATGCAAGAATTAATTTTTCTTTAGCCTGAAATCAAGTAACAACCGCAAGAAATGCATTCTAGTGGTTACCTACTATCTGTATTTTATTAATATCTGAAACTATGATACTGATGGCACAGAGCACTGCAGGAGTCCTCTGAAATGTGAAACTTCTATTACTGTAACCCCAAGCTCCTTTTCAAGCAATTCAGCACCACATTATCAACATCCTGGGAATTAGAAGTGATCACTAGTACTGTTTTTTTTTTGCTAAACAGGAAGATTAGTTTCATACTTAGAAGTGGACTCTCCAAACATGCAGGAACATTAGAAGTCCTTTAAGACCCCTTGATCTCCTCCTAAGGATGACAGGAGTTAATCAAGAAAGTGTACGTTCACATTTTGTGATTAAATTTTATAGTTCCCATGCTAAAGATATACTTAATTACCACTGGAAATATGAATTTGCACCTGAAGTTTTATTTAGAATACCTTCACAGCTTAACCCCCCCCTATTTTCATTAGATGAACAATCTAACTTTGCCTTTGGCATTTCATTCTTCAATGCCTATTAACGCAACTATAATTCTTTCCTACACTGGATTTTACATTTTGCTTTTCAGAACACCTAGTGCAGAGAGGAGATACTGATATTTAATTATGAGTTAATATTACTTCTAAAAATGTCCAAAGGATAAACCCAAGAAATACACTTTTACTTCCATTACACTACCAAGATGAAAAAATTCTGATCTGGTCAGTTTGTTCTGCAGCAACACGTACCGTGCAAGCGTGATGAACCACGGAAACACGGTACTGCCAATAAATGGACAAAGCAAACCTTCCTGGTGCCAACTGCAGATGTGGTACGTTTAGGTTATGAACCAAGACCATCACTCCTTGTCAGTGTTACTTCAGTTACCATCAGCAGGAGTAAGCTTTTGAAACTGCCAGCACATTTAGTATTCGAACACGTTTCCTGAATGCAAAATGCTTTGAATTACTACAAACTTGGAAGGACTTTCATTCTCGGCTTTGACAACCATCTGCCTAACAACGATTGTCAGTCATAGCACAGACACCTGAACTAGCTGCTGTTCTGCAAACTACCAGCAATTTAGTCATATGCTAAACTCCCATAGGAAGCTCACACTGGTTAATTAACCATTCTCATTTCATTACTAAGGAGGTAACTTATGCTGCTTGCAGTCCACACGTATTCAAACTCTAAAATAACATGAGAAAAAACACCGCCAATAAGAACACACCCACCATGAAGTGCAATTCCTCTTGTAACTGTATACCTGAAGTACAGATAACAGTTACATTATTGTCCTACTACATGCAGGCTATTGAATTCAGATAAATCTGTATGTACTACTAGAAGACATTCCTGATTAATGTTGGAAATGGTAACAAAATAAAACCTCTGAATACATACTAAAATTGGATAACGCTGTGGTGGGTTAACCCTGGCTGGCTGCCAAGTGTCCACCAAGCCGCTCCATCACTCCCCCATCCTTAGCGATACAGAGAAGAAAATACCATTAAAAGCTCATGGGTCAAGAAAAGGACAGGGAGATCACTCACCAACAATCATCCCAGGCAAAACAGATCCAACTTGGGGAGGATTAATTTCATCTATTGCCAATTAGTAACAGAGTAGGATAGTGAGAAATAAAACCAAAACCAGCTTCCCCCAACTCCCCTGCTTCTTCCTAGGCTCAACTCTTCCACCTCCTTCCCCAAGCATCACAGGGGGACAGGGAATGGGGGTTGTGATTGGTTCATAACACTTTGTCCCTGCTGCTCCTTCCTCCTCACGCTCATCCCCTGCTCCAGCGTGGGGTCCCTCCCACAGGAGACAGTCCTTCACAAGCCTCTTCAATGTGGGTCCCACCCGTAGGAGACAGTTCTTCATGAACTGCCCCAGCATGGGTCCCTCACGGGGCCACAGGTCCTGCCAGGAGCCTGCTCCTGCTCTCCACAGGCTGCATCTTCCTTCAGGGCATCTCTGCCTGCTCTGGGGTTTGCAGAGCTGCTTCTCACTCCTCTCCCTCAGCCTCTGCACAGCGGTTTTTAACCCCTCTCAAATACATTACCACAGAGACACCACCAGCGTCGATGACTGACTCAGCTTTGAGCAGTGCCGGGTCAGCCATGGAGCTTCCCGAAACGGGCTCTGTCCGACATGGGCACAGCTCCTGGCCTCTCCTCGCAGAAGCACCCCCTGCAGCCCCCTGCTACCAAACCTTGCTGCACAAACCCAACACAAACGTGTCCTCATGAGAGTATCAGACCAGTCTGGGGAGTCGGGAAGCTTCAGTTTTTGACCTGGACTCTAGTTCAGTTTCTGCCTTGCATATATTCTCCTTTACTAGGTTTCAGTTTCAATTTGTGTGGGTTTTTCTTTGTTTGTTTGTTTTGTTTTTTAAACACAAAAGACTAAGGTATTTCATTTCCAATTTCTATTTATTAAACAAGGGATGCTAGTGAAGTGGGAGTGTTAAGAGTTCTGGCAGAGAGGCTAGAAAAAGGTAACCTCAAAAAAACAGAACAGCTGATCCCTGAAAACGGTTCAGCAGAGCAAAGAGCAAACAAAGAAACAAGTAGAAAGGATGGAAATAGGTTAATTCAGAGACGTAAAAAGGTACTGACTGGCTAACAAAACAATAGCATCGAAAAGCTGTTCCTTTACAAATGAAAATAATGTATCTCTAAATATAGAGATATATAGATATAGCCTTAGTTGTATACATTTCTGCTGAACTGGAAATACACACGTTAAAAACTCAGGAAGTATTTTCCCCCACTCGAGTAATATTCTGTTGTGACTGAAAAGCTAGCCAGTCATCACACCGCTATCACACACCACTTACAACCAGCCCAGCAAAGGTCAGCATCCGCTAAAGATTAACCCGTGCAGAGAGGAGATGAAGCTGTAATACCACAGAATATTGCTGTGTGGAGGAGCCCGGCAGGAGCGGGGGTGGGTAAGAGACTGCAGAGTACTGAACAGGCTGGGAAGAAGGCTGCAGAGGCCGCAGAGGCTGAAGAAATAACAGGTTTATAAACATGGTTAACATCAGAGTAAGAGAAGTGAAAACAAAGCCAAAGTCTTTTTTAACAGAAAAAAGCAACTGTGCTCCAGAAAAAGCAGCTATGCTCCATTACCAGAATGGGAATGGATAAGTCTTGTTTTAAGCTCAAGACTTCAGAGAATCAAAAGCAATTTTCAGTATCTCAGTCTCCCAGCAGAAATACATTCACTTTCTTTGTTCTACATCATCTTAGCAGTAAGTCAGCAAATTGCTTGTATCTAATGTTCACTGTTTCTTTTAGAGATATTTTTTTAAATAATAAGTAAAAACTACACATGCATTCTAAATACAAGTTGTTTCAAAGCATCTAAAGACAGAATGAATTTACAACTGACCACAGATTAAAACATACTACCTTCACTTATTCAACAATACTGAAACATTTTCTCTGAATTGTGGTTATTTGAACACGAGAGAGGTATCATTGCTAATAATTTTTTGGGCAGGTTCAACTCCAGAATCCATTGCGAAGGCAATCATAGCAGTATTATAAAATTTGTGAGGAAAACTGCAAATACCACATACGCACTTCTGTAAGCTAGACAGGGAGAAAGAGAACACAGGAGCCTTTTTCAAGACAGACCATCGCTACTGTGGCATATACAGGTATCCTGAACAGAAGATTCAAACAGGAAAAATGAACAGAGTTTAGATGAAGTTCTACAAATAACTTTTTGATAAAATCTGAGAACAATTTGAAAATACCACAAGAGACTATAGGCAGTAGCTTGGTGCCTGAAACAGCTGCTGTGAAGAGGCAGAACCCTCCCTTCTCCTGCCCGTACACACTCATCGCTTTTCTTTTCTTCTTCCAGGGCTGAGGTCATCTTTAGTCTGGCCTATTTCACTAAATTCCTCTTGTACGAGATGAGGATAAAATATATCCTGTTTTTCAGCATGCAGTTTTGTGAGCAGAGTAAGCCAAAGTGCTGCTAAAGAGGCGTTCATATGCTACCAGTCCTAAGCTACCTCTTCTGTGCCCTGAGTACTGCTTATGCGGTACAGCCCAAGAATTCACCTGGCTGAGAAAAAATTACTTTAAGGCAAGGAGACAAAGATTTCAAGTGGATTAACTCATTATTGAACTTGTCCAACTCTACAGGATTAATGGAGCACCTCTGCTGTGAGGAAAGGCTGAGACAGCTGGGGCTGTTCAGCCTGGAGAAGAGAAGGCTGCAGGGAGACCTTAGAGCAGCCTTCCAGTACCTGAAGGGGCCTCTAAGAGAGCTGGAGAGGGACTTTTACAAGGCCATGTAGGGATAGGACAGGGCATAATGGCTTTAAACTGAAAGAGGGTGGATTTAGATGAGATATAAGGAAGAAATTCTTCACTCTGAGGGTGGTGAGGCCCTGGCCCAGGTTGCCCAGAGAAGCTGGGGCTGCCCCCTCCCTGGCAGGGTTCAAGGCCAGGTTGGACGGGGCTTTGAGCAACCTGCTCTGGTGGAAGGTGTCCCTGCCCGTGGTAGGGGGGTTGGAACTGGGTGATCTTTAAGGTCCCTTCCAACTCAAACCATTCTGTGATTCTTCCCCGACTGCTGACTGCATCACTGTTCATGCCAGCGGTAACCACACAGCGTGACTCAGGAAGAAGGCAGAGCCTTTCTTCCAAAACAATCTGCCCTTGGTATGTTTTTGATAGGATAACATTTTCATACTAAAATATCTTCTATATTTTTAAGAAAAGGCTTCCTACCATGTTCAGTTATTAGCAGAACTGACAGTTCTGAGGACCGTGGGGGAATAAGCCCAGTTACCCATACCTGCGTAGCTACTGCTTCTTACCCCGTGCTTCCACAGAACAAACCTACTGACCCCTTGTTATCCGACAGCACACGACAGCAGCAGTCACCAAGGCAAGCAGCACGCGTTTGACATGTGCACCTGTGAGAGGACGTGATTCGTCGCTGGCTGCTGCTGAGGGGGTGCGGGCAGAGGTGGCTGTTGCGGAGGTCCAGGCACTTGGGTCCTAACAGGTTGCTGAGGCATAGGAGGGTTGTACACAACTGGAGTGCCATCTGGATTAAGGAATGGCTGACCTGGAAAGTGGAAAGAGAACAAACACAACCCAATGACAGCCAGCCGCATCATCTCAGTTTGGGAAGAAAACAGACAAATGTATTTACAGTAGGAAAAATGAATTAAATCACAAAATTTGAAAATAAGTGAAGGCATACTGTTTTATATGACAGATTTACGCTAAATCCCCACAACCACATTTAGAATAGCAATGACTAAACAGGCCCCATTTGACAAACTGCATGCAGTTGTAAACAAAGATATGCCAGTCTTTACTTAATGAACACAGACAAACATTGGCTGTACTCTGCTTGTCTTGAAAACTCATTTTCAATTAAGTGGACTGAAAAGGGCAGAAGTAACTGAGGAAGACCCTACTAAAAATATTATTTTAAGGATCTTTTAAAAGGCAATTAAATGAATCTCCTTTAATCAGTCTGAACACCAATTAGAACATAAGAGAGCTTAAAGGCAAGTATTTTAAAAAACGTATATAAAGCAGTAGCTGCAATGGTACTCCTGTAACTGCTAATGAGATTACGGCTAAAGGACTCTCTTCCCCTATTCATAGATGAATTGACTTTTAGCTTTCAAATGAAATAATGCAGTACTATTCTCCTATTTAATAATTTGCAATGTTAGTATCACAGCAGTAAACTAATGAAAAATAATTTAAAAAAAAACTACATAAAACTAAATTGTAAACAAGCAGTGATTTATTTTGGTGCCTGGGTTAAAAAAAAACAAAACAAATCAAAGAAACAACAGATGAGTTAGCAAGGACCTGTGTCTAGCTGCTTAATGACGTGTGTCTTGCACTGGCTTGTTTTGATGCTTAAAGTCCAAATACCGATATAAAATTTTCTCTCCTCTGATATAAATATTCTCATGCCTGAGATTCTTTCTGGAAAGGTATAATAAACTGAGACTAAAGCCTCTGCACCCTAGCCAGGGTCCTGTCAAAGCAGACTAGTGCTCCTTCAGACTTCTTCCTCCCATCACATTTAACTGCAACTGGCCAACACGACGTGTAACAGCTACTGAAGAGAGGACCGAGGCAATTAATGCAGGAGGTGGACAGGAAGCACGAACTGACTTGCAAAAATAAGCTACATATTATGCAGGTGATCAATTTAGCTTAATGGATTTCTCTTTCATGCTCAAGAATTGGGAATGTTCACATAAATAGAGTCAGATTTTCTTACTTCCTTCTACCGCTTTCTGGCAATCACGGGAGCTTAACTTGTTGCCTGTAGGGGCTGAGTAAGAACTGTCTTCTCCTAATTACCACCTTCAACGACTGAGAAGAATGACTCTGTTGACCTAAGGTCACGAGATCCTCTGTCAGAAATGTTGAGACACCAATTTATGTTTTTTGAACTCTGATTGTCATTTGGAACAATAAAGCCAGATGAACAATTACAGAATGTGATGATTTGAGTACATTATAAGTTGAACGTTTATCTGAACCTAGATATTCCTTGTTCTGGAAGCATAGTTTATTTCTTGTTAGACACTTCTTGGATATTAGCATAATCCTCTGTTATGAGGGACAATGACTGGTTTAAATATATTAGAAAATTGATATAACATAGGAAGAATCATGATTTGATAGTCAAGGTAATTTTAATGAATATCAAACAGAGTCATGCCTACAATTCTGCTGCCTCTTCTGAAGGGGGGAGCAAGTACAAGATGCTTTCAGATGGAAAAACAACTTTCACAGTCATGTTTGTTTCTCTGACCCTTCCCGTTGCTATGTGGAAGTCCCATCAGTGGACCAGGGAAAATGACCAACAGCATAGGAGGAAGAAAGTGAAACTCATCCCATGCAAAATGCTGACAAGCACATAACTGAGATGAAGAGGACTCAAACATCACTATTTTTTAAATGAAAAAGACCTGTACCATGTTTTACATGAAATCACTTCCAAGCTGATGGTATCACTTCAGTGCCTGCAATATCTGTTTTGCTGTACAGTAACTCTAAAGCTTTTCGCATGGGCATGCTATAAACTCATAATGTGAAAGATGACAGCCAGCATTCTTCTTAGGTAATGTAGAGCACAAAGTACTCTAGCGTACGCAAACACTTAATGCTTATTTTTCTAGCAAAACTTGTTCACTAATCATCTGTGTCTTCAGATGGTCAATGCACACAATGGAAAACACACATATCAGATGGACAGCTATCACTTTAGAACTAGAAAGACTAAGTCACTAGTGCTACTGTCCAGAATCTGTATTTAAGATGGCAAATGCATCCTCCTCCAAATCCAATGGCTATCTGTGAAATTCAGGTGCTACAGCTAGTCATTTGTAACCAATTTTTAGCAGGGTTGGCTTAGACTATTCACTTATACAGTAAGGCATTTAAGAGAATCCTTAGGCAGTGTATCAATACGCAGCATCATTAATAAAAAAACAAAATATAAAATTTTGTATACAACAGCAATTGATTTATATTAAGAAAAAAGATAAATATATCTATTCCAATGTTGAACCTTTTAGTTATAGAAGAGAAATAATTTAATAATTGATCATTTTAACAACCCCAAAAAGAAAAATTTCATTTAAAACATCACGTGCAGTTATATTCAAACATAACAGAGTCCATCCACATAATGATGGGAAATATATCCTGAAGTATTTCCTTTTCTACAAGGAAAACAAATCTTTAAACTGAAATTAAAATATAATCATCTTCCAAAGATTATGATGTGTTGCATAAAAGGCAAATTAAAGTTTTCAGGATTTCTCACCTTCTGCAATAAAGTACAAGTTTGCCCAGAGAATTCTAACATATCTCCTTGCATCTATATCATGAAGTATCAATTCCTACTACTTACTAAAAATATCAGTATTGGCCAATTACACCAACACTGATTTCATTCGGTTTTAAACTGACAAACAGAAGTCTCGAAATAGCATGGAATCTCACGCTTATTCCTTTCACTAGTATTAAGTCAGTGTCATGAGTAGAGAGAAGGAATATGTTGCAACAAATAAACTGCAGGATGATAAATTCTTTCAAGTCAATATGATTGCTTCCTCAGGCGCTCTCCCCTCACTGAAACTGTTTTATAGTAGGACTTTTCTCTCTCCCCAAAAAAGCCAAAACAATTAAGTTACTCTGTGTTCTGGATAACACATCATAGGATTTTCATGTTGCATACAAGCATTAAAATTTTACATACAAGTTAAAACTCTATGAGAGAAAATCGAGTTTACTTGTTCCTTTGATACTACAGTCATGCTTTCTTTTTAAATTAAGTGCACTGAACAAACACAACCACAGAAAAAAATAAAAAAGAGAGAAAACGAAAGGACAGTACTGACATTCAGTCTTTACATGTAAACACTCGTGCATTTTTCTCCAAGTTCTCAATTGTAAGAAGAACATCCACAAGCGTGTACCAACCTGTTTGAGGGTTGATCAGAATACTGCCAGGCGGTATGCCCGCCGCTTCCAAGGGAAGCAAAAAGAAGCTAGCGCTAGTAGGTGCCACTTGCCCGCTTATGCCACCATCAAAGGAAAGAGAGTTACTAGTGCTGACAGTTGGATAGACGGCAGGCGTGCCATGAGAAGGCTGGCTTAGAGCTGGCACTGGAAGAGGCTGCTGGGTGTGAGAAAGAGAACCCGTGGATGACCCTACACTACTAGAAGACTCTGAACCTAGGAAAGGAGTAATGAGAAATTGTTTTTACCTAGAGACAGAAACATCATGCGCAGTTAAAATACACACTTGTAAATGCTTACCCTTAAAGCTCAGCATTAAGTACATTATTAAACAGTGGCCTTTTCAATGAACTCCCCCCTTCATCTCTCCCGCAATACCATTATGAGATTCCTTCTGTGAACCAAGGGTCAATTCGGCACTGCTTTGCACTGTAAAGTGAGGCTTTCATATCTAGCTCTGATTTTCTGGACAGAAAATCCATGCCTGTACATATGCACCTGTGCTAACGCTCAGGTCATCTGCAATTCACTGAAGTGACTGGTCACCAAATCCAAAATGATGCATGCACACATGCCAATCGGATAACCGAAGAAACGAACACGCAGGCTACAACTATTGCGTGCGTGCAGGCCAAGGGGCAATGCAGATGCAGCGTGCCCAACGGCCCATCAGATACGTCAGCTAAAGCCACGTGCTCTGTAGGTGTAGCCTGCATGCAAGCGATGACCATTTTCTTTTTACTACTAGATGTCAGAGACCTTCTCTGACTCACCTGCTGGACAAACTGCAGAATACTAAAAAACTCCAAATTATTGTTTTTCCCCCCCTCTGACAATTTTCAGACTGAAATCAAGATTACAGCTAGAAAAAAAATATATGGCGATATGGTAGCTTTAGCCTAGTTTTATGTAACAATTCAAAGTCCAAAAGCAGTATGAAGTAGCTGATGGAAAGCAATAATCATTTTACAGATATGAATGACTATAAACGTTGCAAAGCAGTGGAGAACCAGACCCGCAGCTTTCTGAAAGCCAATGCATGCAGCTCAAAGCAATATTCCAAAAGTCCACCAGTCTGTAGAACTGCACTGTCCCTAGATCACTATATACCTAGAACTCTAGGTATACAGTTTATCATACTTCTTATGAAGTCTTTGCTAGGATACTTGCAGTACTTGGAGACAGAATATAGTTGTTTAAATTTAAGACCTCTTCATTAGCAGCCTCTATACAATCTAGAAGAGAAAGCAAGGCTCAAAAGGGGCTGTGATGAAATTTATCTACTGTTTGAAGTTACTTTGCGGTTCTTCATAAAAATTTCTGTTTGTAACCCTTTTACTTGTGTGTATGAAAAGATAGGATAGCTTGAAGCATTTCCTTTTAATTGTAAACTGGGCTAAACAGCACATCCCAGCTCTGCAAAACAATCTTCACCTGACCAGTTACTTTGATTAGATTTGTTTATAAGTGTATCCACTTCTAGATTACATAGAGAAACTAGGCTGAAGGCAATGTAATTAAAGCAAATTATGCCCTTGATCAAAATGAGCAAACAAAATGACTCTCAAGACACACAAAATCACCACAACCTGTAACTGCAGTGAAGCAACAACCATCAAGATAGGCATTCTGGACTTTGAATGTTAACTCTCAGAACGCCAAAACAAAAAGTTTCCAGTGAAATTTTAAGGATCCATTTATGTTCTTGCAATTTAGAAAACAAGATTTCCAAGAATGTTTTCTATATATACACGCTATTGTCAGGTTGTAGTTTCTTTTCAAGCTGTGCCAAATAGTATTACTACATTGCTGAATGAAATAACTCAATATGATGGCACAATTTACAGCATACGCACAAGTACCTTGGAATGTATTTTTTTATATGAGTACACAATGGACAAACAGAATTTGTAACTGTTTCACTGCACGAAGATATAGAAGTGTGGTGATATATCTAGAAGGTAGCGGTGGTTTAAGAGAAAGCAAAACATTTCAGATCCTCACTAGAAACAAGCTGTATAAATAAGATCAAAGCCAAGCATAATACAGGCATGCAATAATATTCTGCTTTTGAACAGTTCTACTTCAATTCTGAAACAGTGCGTCTGTAACCCACCTGTGTATTACAAGCCTCAAAATCTTCCTCAACCAAACTTATCTATTGGATCAAATTACGTTGGCATTTGGAATTCAAATATTTACTAAATTTCATTTTTGACCCACAGATGATTTATATCCATATTTTCTGATATTTTGTTTTGACATTAATTAAAAATTAACACACCTTTGAAACCCAGAATCTTATGAGTATTTTCCCCCAACATTCCTGAATCTTAAACAGTACGCTTTGTTCCACTGATCTGATTTTTTATCAATCTAAAAATTAAGTAAGCTTTTTAGCTATATTCATTTAAATTTCACAATGGCACTGGAAGATAACACAACAAATAGAACTGACAATTCATAGGCTTTAACGCTGTTTTTTCCTAGCTAGTAGGATAGCAGCACAGTTTCCTTGAATGCACAATGCCACTTCACCACACTGAAAACCGAAGAGTTGAACTCTAAATTTTTATTTTGTATAAAGTACTGATGTTGAGAACGTTTTCAAATCCTTTGTACGAGATGAAATGCATTTGGCTTAAAGCCATTTATAACACACTTTAAAATTTTGCTTCCAAAGTCAGAAACGTTTATGCAACTTGTCACCTGAATTCTAGCTCTCCAGGGCAGTCGTGCACTGCAGGGCTAGGTCTGCAGCCACTCCACGCACGCGGCCCCCTGCACCCAGAGGGAGCCGTATGTGTGGAGCAGCACCCACAAGACTGAGGTCTCTACGTACGCACACATCTGCACCGCGCTCCAAGCATCAAACCACCCGGTACTTCACTGCTACGTAACTACGTATTTGTACAGAGTTTATTGTACCTGTCTTAGACAGCCTGCCTGTGCTTTTGCAGCTTCCAGAGCTATCTCCTCTTGTCAGAACGGATATCCCACTGAAGCTGCTGGCTTTCGTTACAGCTGGCTTCAGATTGCGGATGGAGCTATCGGAGTCGGTGCTGCTCCAGGGACGGGGTTCACAATACTTCAGCTCATTCTCAGTGCTGCTTTGGTGGCTGTTGGCTGATCTCCCTGATGCGTCCTTATTGATTCTGTAAGTTATAAACTAAACTTTTAGCACAAGTATCAAGTGCAAAATAAGGGAAAATAAAAAAGGAAAAAGAAAGAAAAGGTGAAATGCATGCAGAATACTTTGGGATTTTTTTTTTTTTTTTTAAGAAAGCATCAAATACCTAAGTATCTGTCGTCTTTGTTGTGTACTATTAGTTTCTTCCTCCTGGATTCTGTTGATATTTTAATAAGATAGCTTAATATTTATTAAGACAATAGCAAAATGAAACAGAATTAAACTGCAAATTTTCTTACCTTTTATCAGTGAAATAATTCTCTTGGGAACACAGGGACTGAGGGGCAAAGAAGTGTAGAAATTAATACGAATGGTAGCTGGAACCCCTACTACAGCGCAGTAACAAAACATGCTGCAATTTGGAGTCTTTCACATTATACATAGACTTTTACAGCATCATCTTCATATTAAACTGCCTGACAACTTACACTCTTTGGTGGATAAATTTCACGTTATGGAAAAAACCCCACACTATAAAAAGGCCCATCTGCAGGAAATAAAAGTTAGCATTACAATAGTTACAATGCCGACCATTTTGTTTATATCGGGATTTTTCTGAAGTTACAATTCTTCCACTGGGCCCGTGCTGCCTTCTGTAACTTCTAGCTGACGTGTGACTTCACAGGTCTGTCAACACCACCCGAGCTGCCTTGTCTTCTGCTTGAAAACGTGAAGTAGATGACGACAGTGACTACTGCAATTATTGTACCGAATTCTTTGGGTACTAGTATGCATATGCTAAAAAGCAGACAGAATACACAACCAAAAAGGCTATCGTTAACTTCAAATATGTTGTCCTTGACTGTGACTTCTAATATTTAGTACACAGCTTCTAAGGGCAAAACACATGGAAAATGAGCACACAAAAAGAAAAGGTAATTTTATATCCAAAAGACTATCCTTTTTGTTTATGTCTAAGGTGAACAAAACAAAACAAAAAAAAAAAAAAGGCTTTTAGAAAATATTTGGATATAGCAAGCAAATTAGCCTCTCAGAGCTCATCACTCTTTCTTCAGAACAAGAAACTAGTTTTGGATGTGTGAGAGCTACAGATAAATGTCAGAAAAAGTGGATTATTAGAAGTAACGCATATTTTTGAAGACTTCTTTGTTCCGTTTCACTCAATATAGTTAAATATAATGACTACTTGTGATTTTATTATAGTTTACAGTGTTGTTCTGCTTGCTAACTCCAGTCAAGAGAAACTAGACTTCTACAGTTCTGAATGAAATATCACATATGGGAATTCAAATAATTTTACTGTGACTAGTCATAAGATGTGTTTGATACAGACACAAGTGAGAAAAAAACCCAACATTTCGGTTTTTGTCTCCATGGTTTTTTTTTGTCTGGGTTTTTTTCTTTTTATAAAGAACTATTGCTCTGAGTAACAACTGAAATGACTGCAGCACCAAAACTCTAACTTAAATTTCAGCAATGGGCAAAATAACATATTGAAATAGGTAATGCTAGATAATGTACCAAAATAATCCTTGAAGGTTGCTTGAGTTTCATACTGTAGTGATGAGAGAAAACAGAAAATTTCTCGGTAACTTCAGTATCATTTAAAACTCATTCAGACCACACTAATGATTCCTAGCTGCTCAGTTCCCTTCAGATAAAGTTTCCTGGAAAGAAGTATCTTAACACAAACCACATGTGCGTTTGTGTGTGAAGCAGTCATACAAAACACCGTAAGATTTTCTTTGATACATACATCTTGTGCAAATATTCTTTCTCTAGCTCTCTGATATTCTTCTTCACGTTCTTCTATGGATTTACTTCTTCTGTCATCTTTTAATCGTATTCTCATCTAAATTAAGCGATACAGTGTCAAATTCTACAAGAAAATAGTATAAATACACAGTCAAATACAGCAAGTGGGAGGAAGTAATCCATATGTATTTACCTGGTTGTCATCTTTGTCTAAACTAGAGTTATCTCTTTTAAGGATATACCGCTTCTGGAAATCATCACTCTTCTCATCCTTTATATGCTCACAAAACTTTTGGTCAGGTCTATGAAAAGTCATTAGAAAGAAAAGATTTATGGTTTTGTAAACAGGTACTACGGACAGTGGAACAAACTGAAATATACTCAAGATTAATGTTAAATATTACATATATTTAATATGCTAACTGAAGTGATAGATTTTGGTTGTCCAGGCAATGGAAAAGGTACCAAAAATGTAGGATGATGTATACCCCTGACAAGTCCTGTTCCTGAGGCATAACAAACCTGCTTTTAAAATCTCTTCCTCCTTCAAAGCTTTTGCTTCAATTTCCAATTAAGGTGGCAAGCAAACCACATGCCCTTGGGGAATCAGAAGTGCTCTTCAATCCAGACTGGTGCCATGCAATGGATATTGGGCATGCATGGAAGTGAAGATAGGTACTTTCTGCTAGAGCTGTAATACCTCAGAATTCATTTCAAGGGAAAACAGAAGGTAAGAAGATAGAGTAGAAAGCATTGAAACTTACAGACTTCTATAACAAAATTAAGTAGAAATAAGCAAGAGAAGAAGAACAGTACAACGCAAGCAAGCAAGAGCTTCACAGGATCACAGCGAGAGGATGAAGCAACAGATTATATATTTTGTTTTGGTATTTTATCTACTTCGTGAAAGAAAACCGAGATATTTTGCAAACTCTTGTTGTTAAAAATCAATAGCAAGTACCTAGACAATAAAACTACTACTATCATAAGAGAAGTTCTCAGACAAGCAGGAAATTTTTGCCTAATAAAAGACAAAACACAGGTATACTCTTCTCTATTTCTGTTTCTTTATTCATTAGCCAGGACATCTGTATAAAGTCAGGAGATCTTTTTCTATAAAACAGCCAAGCCTACCTATTAGTTACTGGATGCCCAAACATAATTAGCAGGCATTTCAGAGAACCTTTAGACTGTCTTACCTCTTTCTTTTAAAGGTCCCTGAATTTACTGCCCTGCAATCACCAACTTCCCACTCCACTGAGACGTCCCAGTATGCACTGGGTTGTCGATGTCAGTAACATCACTGATCGGCGATGGAGCCGGGAATCTGCCTATGAGGAAAAGGTAAGTTTGGTTTTATTCAGCATGGAGCAGATCTCCAAGGTTTTCTTTCTAAATTCTTATTTTATATCCAAAGCGATTTAAAATAAGAATACTGAAAACATTAAGAATCTTAATGTCTGCAGGTTAGATGAAATGCCTGCTAATTAGTAACTACATCTATAAGGGGCTTCCAGAGGCCATAAGCTATTTAAATATCGGCTAGAAAAAAACGCACAAAAATGAAGAAATCATCTTTTAATAGTTCTTACTCCACACCTGAAGTGCTGGACTGAAGCTTCAGTACAGAGATACTGGTAGATGCAAAGGCAACAGATTTGAAATGTGTGGCTTTATAAGTCAATTTAGATAGCAAATGTATAGCCCAAGGAAAAACACATACATGAGTACATAAGTTATTTAACATGTATTTAGGCTCTATATATTTTTCTAGAAACTTTTGAGGAAGAAACTGTTTATGTGTGTGAAATTTCAGCGTGGTATATTATTTCAGTTCTACTGACTCTAAACCTAGGGTGGATAATTAGATTTTTTTCTCCCAAAGCTACAGAGAGTGTATATAGAGACTGGGATTAGGACGCAGGAGCTGTAAACTCCTATTTTCACATCCAAATCATAGAGCACTTAAAAAAAAAAAAAAAAAGAATATGGTATCAGGCCACTGCTTTAATTTAAAACTAGAAACTAGGTGGCATAAACACACCAACACATCAGTCCTTTGCCTTTCTGAGAGAGGATGAGGAGACAGAGCAAGTGCAGAGGATAGAGAGAACAGCTGGGTCCTTTGAATGAAAAGATCAACTACGCTTTGGTTTTGGAGTTGCTGTGGCCCCAGTGCTACTTTTTTTGCAATATGGATTTGCCTAGGCGTTCCTCCAAGAACTCCCCAGCGCTCACAGTAAAGGAGCACGCCATGACTTGGTAACCTGGTTGACACTTCCACTGATGAGATGTCTGTCTTCCCTGCTATGTTTATTCTGTAAGGCCATATGAGATCTGTAAGCCACATTATTCCAACAAAAGACTTCAATGCCCGAATTTTCCCAGTGGATTTTTACAGTTCAGAAGCCAAAGTTGTACAAGTCTTGTCCCCTCCCTTCACCAAATCAGAAATGACCTTGCTCTAAGTTAAGGGCTAGTTCTGCTTTCCAAAAGAAACAAAGAATGTACTTTGTACACTTCAGTGGTGCAAATCTTTAAACAGGAAAATAGTTGATATAAATTCATGTTTCACGGAAACAATGTTAACAATGTAACTCTGCAAGAAAAGCATCAAGAACTCTTAATTTACAGATAACATCATTTTTTCCCCAAAAAAAGTTTAAACATGAAACAGATCATGTTACTACACAGCTCTGGAACATGAACAGTAAAGATCTTGCAGCTACCTCTCCTTGATGCATGGTTCCCAATGAGCAGACAGACCCCTGCTGCCACAGATGCAGCATCACTGCATAATGTATCCCGGGTGTTAAATATAGGCATCAAAACGTTTTTTCAAGACTTTCACACTTACATTCTTGTATTGCTAGTTTTATTCACTATGACTGCCTTCCCACTCTGGTCCACGTTGTGCTCTAATCCAAAGTAAGCAGCTACCCTGTGCAACAGCATTCTATGGTAAGATGTCATTGGGGGAAACTTTTTTCTTGGAACTCTGGAAGAAAGGAATAGTAGCTTTATTAAACAAACAGGAACAGTCTTGAATTCTTTTTTCCTATAAGAATACAGTACTTACTCATTATTACCAATGAAATCTAAAATTTCCTGTTCTAATTTCAGCAGCATCATTCTGTCCCTGAAAATAAAAACACAGCAACTCACATATGAGACACTCCAATAACTGTGGCTGTATTCATCTCAAGAATACACAGATAAGATCTGTGATCAAGGGATGACAGCAGACTGTAAATAGGACCACGAGGTGTCAGATGAAGTATTTTTAGGACAAAGTATTCATTTTTCACTAATATATATTTTATTGAACCTGCCTAGTGACATGCTGTTCTAATCTCAAAAATCAGAATACAAAGATTCTCCAAGTAATCTCTGCCCAGAAAACTCAACAGAAAGCACAGTCACAGAGAAGACAGTCTCCAGAAGGAGCAGCAGTGACTAGGTTGTTTCTTGTTGGCTAACACAGGCAGCAAGATTTGCAGAGGCCTGAACTGGCCCTTGGATTGTGAAACACGTCACAGGATCATTGAGACAAAAGAGCGACAGAGGACTGCTAACAGCAGGCACTACTACAACATACCAACAACCAAGTGGTTAAAAGCTGGAACACCCTGCAGCCTGATGAGATAGTAAGAGCAGATGAAAAAGCTAAAACTCAAGGTGATAGAAATGAACATTAGCTGAAATGCCATAAAACGAAAGCCTTAAAAATGCTTATGCCAGTTCTCATAAATCATGACTATGTAATGAAATTAACTGTCCCACAGTTCACAATTTGTGCACATCAGATAACTAAGCTTCTCAGTTATTGCACATGCAAACCCACAGCAGCCCTCCACCTACAATTTCGTATTTTCATTGCGATGCTGTATGACTTCAAATAAGAACAAAGTAAGAGTCTAGCAGAGGTCTGTGCTTTCTAATTTTATTCTATAAGGACAAAATGGTGTTGGACCCTTATTATAGCTCATTTTACATTTTTTGCCAATAAAATGGAATCTCAATACATTATCACATTGGAAATCACAACTATAATACTAATGAGTAACAAATGGTACTGGAATGGCTTTGGTGACAGCAGAATAATTCCACCGAGTTTATTTCTCGCGTTGTATGTGCAGCCACACATCTAGTATGAAACACCACTGAGGAAAAGGACTAACAAGAGACAGCAATGTACCGCAAACCTCAAAGCAACAGAACCCTGTCAACTCCATTGCTAACAAATGATGGACTTGAATTAGATCAGACTCGGTTTCTGATGCACAGAGTGAAGATGTACATCTCCAGCCATGCCTATATGGTACATCTTCAAAAAAAAGTTCCTTTGTCTATAAAATCAGTGCAAGGCAGATAAAAGTAAGAGAAGACAGTTTAGCCCTTATCAAGCAGATGCTAACAGAACACAAGTTTTAGAGACATAGTATGAGAGTTCCTTCAGGGACAGAACTGCATGCAGACAGAACTCATTATTTGCTTCGTAAACATTAAAAGCTTTTAAACTATCTCAGTATCCTGGACCTGTGTTTCATATACCATACAAATTGCAGTGGAGTGGAGCTTCAGATAGCCTGTGCAACAAAATCCCATCCTAAATAGCTAACATACAGTGTTAGATTTTTTTTATTTCTCAGATAATGACAAGAAAAAAAACCCACAAAGTTGACATTATTGATGCTTACCTGGGATTGTTTTTTAAAGTATTTACTAAAAATTCATGAAGATCTATACCAGTGGAATCTGTGTATTCTTGACTGGAATCTAAGGGTTGGGTGGAGAGAGCAAAATTACACTTTGAAAAACCATTAATAATATTTTTTCACAATTATGGTTGAACATGGTACTTATGGATCAATACTATATAACTATTAGGCATGTTATTCCTCTAATTAATCACTTCCAGTTTCCACGTAAAAGGCTCACAAGTAAAAAACCAATACAGAAAACCCAACATAACCTCCCCCCCATTCCCCTAATTCAAGCGGAATACAGAAGCAAAAACTTCAGTAACACTGCCAATTAACAAATTGCTATAGATTTTGAAGCAGTGTATCTCTTTTGAGTCACCCGATTTCTCAATATACTACATTGCACTGTTGCATACACTGCTCTGGACCAGCAGTTCATCTCCAGAATGCCTGAAGAAATACTGTCCTTCATAATGTAACAGGTCATCCTTCACAAATGTTATTTTGTATTATTAAAAAGTCTTTGTTCTGTGGAACTTTGTTTTCGCTACATAATGTTCAGAAGTTTTCAAAAAGAAGTCTCACAACCTTCTGTCTCCTTTCTGGTTTCAATGAAAGAAAGTATTCAAAGTTACATTTTGTTCTCTAAAATTTGTCACGGTGAGAAATGATTTAACACCAAATCTTCCCTTACATGAGCACCTCCCAGAGTTCCAGGTCTTAGCAGTAAAAGCTAGGAGGTGTTGTAACAATATTTTTGGAACTAGATTTCTTCCAAGAACTACATACTTGTCAACCTAGTCTCAAGTTAGGCACAGCCCAAACTTAGGCCTACAGTCCTAGTCGTTCCAGGTCTTTTTGTGGTCAGTACGGAGAGCAGACATCGCAAATCAGCTTCTATTAGCAATGAGAGGAACTACTGCGCAAAGAAGGATGGCATTTGGTGGAGACAGAATCTGTGCAGGCTTTTTTGTTAGAAGCAACAGTGCCAGCAAAGTGTCCAGTCTTCAAAAATGAGACCTAAATTTTTTCCTGGAGAGAATCCAAGTCCACCTGAGAACAGGGAATCTCTGGTTCCCTAAAGAAGAATGGCAGCGAGTTCCTTTATCTGCAGAGCTCACTATGCTATCAGTTGTGCCCGTGTATTATCAAGAGAGTATAAATGAAACCAAGCAACTCTGAGCGTTTACGGTCTGGGATTACTTTGAATTGGGGGGGGTGGGGGCTGTATGCTTGGTGAAACAACTGAACAACTGTAAGACTGAATAATTATTTACTTTAATTCTCTTAATTTGCAAGTGAGCAATAATTTAGTTATAATTACTAGAAGACTAATGTTTAAATTCCACCATTTTCTATTTTGGCACATCCTAACTTGGGAACTAATTAACCTCAAGAGGAGATATTGGGTGAATTTAAAACAGCTACCTCTGCCTTAGGCGTTTTGTTACTTTGCTCTTGACTCCTCATTACCTAACATGTTAGGTTGGTTTGGGGAGAGGGAGGGGAGGAAGGCGGTGTGTTTTCATTTTTTTGCGGGTTGTGCTTTTTTTGGTTGGGGTTTGGGTTTTTGTGGGTTTTTTTGTTGTTGTTGGTTTTTTTTTAATTTTAGAAGGTGGGAACATACTTTAATGGTTGAGCAAATTAGCTCTGAAAGAACACCCTAGTTTTTTAAGGCATCATTTCAAGACTCAGATTTATAAATGCAGTTAAGTCCTCCATCCCAGCACTTTATATTTCACAAATACCCAGCTGGGACAAGGTGCACTGAAATGCCACATGCGGAAGGCCTTAAGGGATTAAGGGACACAAGACTGACAAGTGCTACCTGTCTCAAAAGAATTCTAGCTTTAAAGATATTTCCTATGCACTGGCTGATCTAAGATGTTTAGATAAACATTCTGGATCCTTTATTTAAAACAAGAGCTGTACAATGAATCTCCAGCTTAAATGCATAAAGTCTCCTAGCTTTAGGAGACATCAGAAAACGTGGGCAGAGACAGGTTTATGTCATTAATTTTGCTGTCACTTTTACTTATGTACTTCCACCCTTGCTCCAAAACTATAAAAAAAAATTCTAGATACTCTCAAAAGTAAAATAAACAAAGGTAGCTGTCATTCTCACTTAAGTTTCACAAAACCTGTAACAACATCTAGGAATAAGATAACTTCTACTGACTAGTAAAGTCAGTTTACCAAAGAACTCTTGGACACAACTGAGGCAACACAATTGCTCTTCTGCTGATCTGCACAGCCAGATAGGTGAGAAAGGAAAAGCACTGGCTGGAGTACCTGTGTTTGATGAAGCCTCAAAAGCACTGTATTCTCTGGAAGCAATTCCTTCTCCAGCTCAAAGACGTCTGATCTATTTGCTTCATTTGCTAAAAAACCCCTAATGCTTATGCAACGACGTCCTGGAAGCAAAATGCATCTTCTTATAACATTCTTTATCTACATAGTACGTTTAAAAGCATAATAACAGATAGCACACCTCTTGATAACATTTTTCTGGACAGTTTATCACTGGATTTTTCCTTTTCCACTTCATCTTTTGCAGGCTTTTCTTCTTTTTCAAAAGACTGTGACAACTGGATCTGAATTTTCTCCTGTCAAAAGTAAAAATCAGTCATCATGGAAATTCTTTCAAACAGTACCTGCAGGAGAACTGTTTTGTACTATATTACCTGCAAAATAAAGAAGAAATCTGCCACGACCACAAAGTGTAATTATATTTATCAGTGAATCAAAAACTATAGAGTAGACACAGAAAGTGCCATAAACATTTTGGGATTTACACACACTTCCAGGCCCAGAATGCTATTTCAAAATGAATCTGAAGTCTCTTATTTGATACACGTATGAAAATATACCAGTTTTTCAGATGTATAAATTTTATACAGCTTCTCATTTTTTAAGTAATGCATCACCCACAATGCTTTTTTTCCCCCATTCTTCACAGTTCTTGACTACAAAAGCTTGTTTCAAGTTTCAGGTTGGTTTATAACCAAGAAGAGGGGAAAAAAAAAAAATAAAGCAAATGTTTCAATCTAAGACAGACCAGCTTTCCCAGATCCATAAAAAAAGGGAAATATTTACAGTACAATGTATCAAGGCAAAATTTGGAAACCTTACTGTCATCAAGGCTTAGATTCTTAACTTCCTGTATATTTTGACAGAGTAGCTTTGTGTGTAATCATCTCAAAAGCCATGTTGTTATACAAGCAGGTAAAACCATCATAAAACTTGTTTCCCAAATACAGTAAAAAAGAGCTTCCCCTTTGACATTATAGTGACATAATGGTCCCCTACATAGTGGAAGACCATAATTTGTTTTTCATTCCTCTTTACTCTTTCATAAGATTGTCAGAGAAGGACTAACATATTTCAGACAGCAAAACCAGAGGAGGCAGGGGAAAATGGAGACACCACATGTCTGCACAACTCCAAGAGGAACGGTGGCAAAGTCCTGTAAGACCAAGACTCCCCCTTTACCTTTTATCTCGAACTCCCTCAGACATCAATTTTGCTCCCTCAGTGCCAACTGAGTTGACGCTCTCACCCTCCCCACCCGTGAACATCTGATCCTCCCCAACCCAGAGAACCTGCCCCTCACCCAGTCTTGCCTGTTGTTCCTCTGTCCTGCATGTAAGTCAAGTCCTCACTCTTCCTTCAAACCCATTCTTACCCATATCCAGGCACTGCTCTAAGCTTCTCCCTGTGTCATTCCACAGACTTGACCTCACCCACATAAGCTGGCCAGAGTTAAATATAGTCAGGATTCACCACGGCTGAAGACTGTTTCACATGCAAACGCATCCTTGCGCGGCCGGCAGTAACGCTCTTCCATGCCCTAGCACACCAAACTGCCGTCTCCCCCTTGGTCCCTTCAGAGCTGGGCAACGGGAACCCTGTACTAATGCGGTTATGTTAAAAACTACTTTCAATAAGCATTTTTGGAGGAACAACTTTTTCAAATTAAAAAAATAAAATATATATTAGCCGATTGTTTTATCAGCTCTCTTTCCTTATGACTTTTCCCCCACATTAAACGCTCTAATTAAACTTATTAATTCATACACACCCTGAAAAACAGCATTACAAGTGCTAAGACCTCTCAGCTTTTATGAGATTATCTATACCTAAGTCTGATAAAAACCATTATCAATCACTAGTAATGAACTTTGTCGTAGAATTCTTTCTTAGTCTTGAGAATTCACTTGGCTACAAACCTTAACAAATCTTTGCATTACTCACCTCAAACCTGAATGTAATTGAAATGAGCAATTTATTTGTCTCTATAAAGTGCATTACACCTACTGTTCACCTAGAAGCTTCATAACAGTTATGTGAAAAAGAAAGAAACATGGTTTATGTCTTACTAATGATTTCTGACTTGGACCCACTAATATGTTATTCTCCATTTTACAATAATACACCACAAAACTATCAGTAAATTAAGCAAATTTTCATAGTCTGATTTTCCTTCTCTAGCAAGTTGATTGACTACAGACACTAAACTCATCCAAAGTAAAAACATACGGCAATAGTTTAGTCAAAGGATTCCAACAAGTAATCATTTTCATACTTCCTTCCCCAACAAGAGCTAAATAAGGAATAGCCATCTGAACAGCCAGTTCTACTGCCACCAATTCTACTTCGAAGTGTGATACCAAAGGGCACTTTCTTGAGATTTCATGCTATAAAAACTGTAGCATCTAATTAAATATGACCTACTTGACAGGAAAGCTGCCAAAAAAATCTTTTAATTTCTATTACCTAAAATTCTTTTAATCCCACCCTGTTTGTAGTGGGTCCCTGCTGGCATATTGATTTAACAGATTCCTCGCTGTAACTCAGATCACCTATCCGAAGTCCTCATTGTAGCAGAAGAAATTGTCACCGAATCCCCCCGAAACCATCAAAACTTGATAAATTCCTCCAACTTAGAACACTTGAGAAAAAGCTACGAGTTAGGAAACATTACACAATGTTACCTAAAGGGCTCTATGCCCTGTGGTCTTCGCTTTTTACCAGCAACCTCTAAAACCAACAACCACCTGAATTTACACAAGTGAGTATAAACTATTATTAGCAACCCTGGTCTTCTCTTCCCAGTTCCCTTCCTTTGAGTTGTTTTATTTTGCTGAAGGAGAAAAAGTCAGTCTTCTGCAGGTTTATTTACTTGTTACCCATCATAACAACTGTCACTCACAGGAAAACAGCCCTTCCTTACAAAAAGCTGAACAGACCATCCTTTGCTAGCATTCATGCTTCGTATTAGAGCCTACAAGATCACAACACGCCCAGCATCTAATATTTAGACAGAGAACAGCAACAGAATAAAAAGTTTGTGTATTTACAGAGATAAAAGATCAAACAAATCAGTTACATTCTTCCTCCTGCAATAAACTGACAAGCTCGTACTTTCATAGCACCTCTTAGTAAAGCACCGGCCAGGGCTTTTTAACAATTAAGGCTTAAAAATTTGTGATCTCTTACCTAGGTTTTTCAGTAAGGAAGAGTATCTTTTTTCATGTTGCAATTAGTCAAGAAAATATAAACAAGTGAATCAGTTTGGTCTGTCAACCTCTTTCACGACAGCTTTCTGAGGAGAGGCAGCCAGCAGTGACTTGCTGGGTGACTCCTACACCTGCATGTGCCGAGGAGTTTTACCTCGCCAAGAGAAATTTCCCGTATGAATTGTTACAGAGGGTCATGGAAGCCCTGTGCCCCACAGGATGTGCATTCCAGCATCAGAACTTGTAACACATTCCTACTTCTAACTCTTCTCTTCAACATGTATTTCTTCACTCTACAGGGAAGAATTAAATTTGTTCTCTCAACCATTTGCATAGTTATTGGGATTCATAAGCCATTTTTTCTAGATTACTGTTTCTAAAGAAAACTCACAGCTAGATCTAATATTGTTTCTTGATATACAATCTGGTTTATGGTATTGCTTTTGTACAAACTTAGATTATCGCACAATTCAAGTCATTCTGTAGAACTGGCCTTTAGATCTCTTCTACTACTGCAATAATTCCTTTCAAGAACCACCTTGCAGTACGCAGCGAAGGACAGATTACCACGGACATGGTAACAAATGCCACCTGCAGAGAATGCTTATTATAAATGTCTCACTTTAAACCATTAAATACATGGTGTTGTATAGTGTGTATGTGCATTATATATATGTTGTATAGTGTGGAGGATCAGCCCATCAAATCAGGATTCTCTCTTCCTGTAATTGGATACAGTGACAGAAAAAGTTAAACCCTATTGCTTCAGACTAAAACACTAAACTTGTTCTAGATCCCTCAGTCAATTTTGTTAATCGTATGCAAAATTTACGACAGGGTTGTAAAGGATTGCAAATAGCATTAGCTTTTCCATTGTTTTTTAATCTTTTTTCCTGCAGCCTATACCAACCTAAGACTTAGATTTTCATCAAATTAGCAGGCCCAGCTTCAAAATTTCTCCAGTCAATTAGCTTGACAAATACCTCCATGAGTTCTCACCTCCCTCCTCCCCCCCCCACCAAGTGAATTACCACTCCCCCACCAAAACGCTCTCACACTCTGCTATTTTATTGGTTCCTTCTGCTTGTTAAGAAAAGTGAAACTTTTCAAAAGAAGACAGTTTAGAAGTTTTTCAGGTAACAGCAAAATAAGACAATGTGCTTTATGAGTAAGCCACTAAGGATCATATCAGCTTTGTCAGAAGTGAAAGACGACAAGCATTTTGACACCCCTCATCCACACATAGAACTAAAACCATTAACAGTATTTTGCTCTAAAAATGCAGACTGGTATGCAGTTAAAGTCAGGAAAGCTAGATTTTGTTTTAAATTCTCTGAAGTATTTTTACATATTTAGAACTACCAGAAATTATAACCAATATGCAGGAATTTAGTTACAACACCAGAACTGAAACTTTTAATTTCTCTAAATATAATAAGCTGATAAATTAGGCTGCATATGAATCATCATTTTTCTGTCTTACTGATGGCAGACAACACTTAAGCAGTTTAAGGTTGCCTCCAGTGCACCGTAACACTAGAAAGTTAAAACAACTGACAAAATCCCTCTTCCTTTTCCTCAGATATCAACCATTATAGTTCAGAAAAACAAAGCAGCAAGTTCTTCATCTGGTATTAGCATCTCTATTACAGCTGTATTAAAAAAAAATTAAAATCATATGGCGTCTACATATTTAAAGAGTACCCAAAAGATTTCCTTTTGAACAGTAAGTTACTTCAAATTGTTTCAGAAACTTCAGTAATGTGATTTTTACCTGGAGGTCCTGTGATATTTCAGCTGTGGGAGGTGGTGGATATTCTTCACATACAGCAAGGCTCCGAACTAACTTTAACTTTGTGTTTGACTAAAGGAAAGTATGTAAAATTAAAAACTATGGCTTATAAAAGGTTATATAAATATACCATAAGCCGTTATTTTTCCACTCATTTTATGTAAAACACAATGGCTGAAAACTGCATTTTTAATATTTTCAATAGAATAAATAATTTCCTTTAGGATGAAAATACCCAAGCAAATTGCAGCTTTTGAAGGCACTGTCAGCACAATAGAGCACATCTAATGAAAAGTAAATAAAATCTTTGGAAAAGTGTTTCTCTCCATAACAATAAAAAGCCACCAAAAATATAAAGGCAAACCACAAAAGCAGACAACTAGGCAAGACAAAAACCCAACAGAATAAAACAAAGCTTCAATGCCAAAAAATAAAACTAAAGGCACTTTTCACAAAGTAACAAAGCTTCATCAAGCATGAAGGGCTTCCTTAGCATGCCAGCACACAAGTCTACTGTACCTTCGACCTTTTTGCTGTCTGTCCAAAAGACTGCACTGGCCGCTGAATGATAGGCACAACAGAAAAGGTTTATATTAAACTTAATAGTACAATTTTATTAATGCAAAAGACTGAGAAAGAAGAGAAAGCTTTACCAGTTATTACTGACATGATGGTCAAATCTGTGAAAGGAACAGCAGGTGCTTCTGGCCAAGGGATTATATGCTCTCCCACTTTTATCATGCTTGTCCTTGATTCCTTTTCATTTATCAACAATAGATATTAAAGGAATTTAACAGGAAGCAAATACTATTCTTGTTCAGTAAGATCCACGCAGTTTACTCTCTCAGCCAGCTCATATATTTTAAATTCTCGTGTCCTAATTTCCTTGGCAACATGACATGGTTTTTATAAATTTTCTTCCTATACTTGAAACCTACCTGGAAAAGTGATACCAAAAAAAACCCACCCCAAAACACTGCCTCTACCAGAGGAACAGATGATGACCTATCATAAGCAGGTTAAAACTTATGGGTTTTTTTCTTTCATCTTAAGAGCTATGAAAGTGAACTTGAAAATGGGCTACTGGTCAATCTCTTTTTCTTTACTTCAGTAACTTACTATGCATTAATGTACTCTTTCTCCTCCCAAGGCCATTTTAGTAATCAGTGCACTGATTTGCTCTTTCTCCTCCCAGATCCCTTCTTCTATTACCACTGTTAACTTAAAAAAAAGCATTACCAGAATTTTGCTACAGTATGCGTGATTGAAAGGTACATTTAACAATTTCTTAACTGCATAGTTAAAACTAACTCAACCCTCTGTGACAGTTACACAGGAATAGAAGCACTTAGTGGCATAACACAATCTAAGTACTGGTTTCACTTTAGAACTAAAACTGATGTATAGACAATCCTTTAACAACGCATTTTGCTGAGCACAGGCCTAATATTTGTAAGGAAAAAATAACATTGGTAATACAATTTCAAGTGTTTGATGAACAGTATTTCCTCCTTTATGAAAAGGGTATCCTTTCAGAAGGAAACTAAACAAAAACTATTTGAAAATTACACGAAGACAGCTCTCCCTGCCCTAAGCGCATAGGAGCAGATGTCTATAAAGTGCCTTAATTTCTTAGCAGGACACACATGTTGCTAAAAAAAACACCTAACCTAAAGTAAAGGGCTCTACCATGTAAAGGCAGAAGAAACACTGTTTCTCTCATTTTCCTCAAGTCTCAAATGTCTTTTTTGGATGTTGCACCAGCTTAGCTGAAGAGCAACAGAAGGGGAGCTCGTTTAAGCTCATTTCACTATATAACAGGATTTTAAATAGCAGCACTGAAAACTAACTGAACTCATCATCAGGTTTTTTTAAAGGAAGCTTGCTGAGATTTTGAGTAGCTAAGACAGTTCAAATGTTCTCATACCTGGAACAATACAGAGACTTTGAATTCTGTTGGTATCTGCAAAATATTTTCTTTCTTTCTATCAGCTACACTGAAAGCATACACTGCATATTGAAAGCTGGCACTTTACATATCCCTTGCAAAGTTTCTATTAGTCCAAGCTACTAAACTTTCAAGAACTGGATGATTTCCCAGCCTCATATCAATTACTCCAGCATCATTTAGCTTAGGTGGGTTCAAATCAAGCAGTGTAAACTTAAAACCAAATCAGCACTGCCAGTGGAGTACTCGGTTCACTGTCAAAGCAACAGACAAAAGAATCTACACTTGGGCAATTGTTTACCTTTTGCAAAATTTTGGAAGCTTAGAAGCCAGTATATAATTGAAAAGAATATACAGAAACAAACATCCCAGATCCACCATTTGGCAGGGGCTAGGGATACACTTAGTTATACAGGACATAAGACATTTTAAAATAGTCAAACAGAATTTCTAATACTGTTATCCAAAACTTTACACGTAAATTAATGCTCACTAATTAGATAAGACATAAATTTTTCAATTATTAAGTGCAATTAAAAAAAAAAGATATTGTTGCTAGGAAGCAGGAACCATATCATAATTAAAATTAATTAAGATCTGTACAAGGCATGTACCTCCTCCTCACCTTACCTCAGTAAAGTCTTAGGAATCCACTGCAGCCAAAACTTAACTATGTTTGTTCATGCCAGATAAAGTGAAGCAAATGTCTCAAAATTTAATTGAGACACTGAAATTATCTAGTAACAAATCTGAATTCTTTGTAAGAATGTTTAAAATTAATGTGGTCCTTTAAGTGTTTTAAGCCTGCTGTATCTCATTTTCCATTTTGCCTGCAAAATCACAGTTCTGTTTCCAGGTTGGAAAGCCAACCCAACTGACACTGTCCATTCTGCTGCAGTTCAAGATTATTTTTTTTTTTTTTTTTAATAAGTGTTTGCAACCTATGGGGGATAAGTTAATTAAAGCAATACAGGGCATTCTGGGTAGTAAACTAAGGTATTTGAATGACATGGTGCTCAATTTCACGAGCACTTGACAAATTTTAGGGACTAAACTAACACCAATACCACTGGGGAGAGCTTGTGGGCCACTGTAGGAGGAAGGTTCTCCCTTGATTGAAATGACTCAGACCTCAAAATTACACGAGATAAGTATCATCACACCCATCATATTAAGACTTGTTATCTATAAACACCTGCCTTGTAAAACAACCTTTTGACAGGCATGGATTCCTTGCTTTCCTGCAAGACTTTAAGGATGTTGAAACCTGAAATACAAGTCCCCACATCCAGCTGCAACTGTGAGGAATAAGCACCACACACTTGACAGGTAAGAAGCACTGGAATAAATCTGATACGGCTGGACTGCAGGGACTGCTCATGAGACAAAAGGCTTACGATGTACGGTCTGCACCTGGAAATACAACACTCAAAGTGCTGTCGTATCAACAGTAACACAAAGCTTGAAGATAACAGGGCACAGTTCCTTTCTCCGGCAAAACGATGCCGACTGAGGATAACTGCATTTCCACCAAAGCTCGAGGACAACGGGTAGACAATGCACGTTGTAGCTGTTAATGCAAGTTTTCCTCTCTTTTCAGGCCCATGAATTTTAATTCTGTCCGAATTTCTCTGCATTTACTAAGTTTTGCTCCTACAGAGCATCTTTGTGTTCCTCATTTGTGAAAAACAATTTATAGCTACTTCAGAATATGTAATCTTTAGCGAGTGCTAATTACGCTATTTCTTTATGTTTGCAGCTCTCAGACTTTTACTGACTTGAGAAAACACCGTGTTAATGAAGGCAAGATTAAAAATAAATTTATGCCCCATTTAAAGTCATTATGGGAATGATTTTAAGACAGTGTTTAAAAGCAAGTATTCCAAACAATTGCATAATGAAAATAATGATTATGTTTTGGTCTTTAAGAAAAGAACAACAACTTTTAAGACCAACTACTATGCTCAACTTACCACTATAAAATAAAAAGGAATTAAGGCAGAGTTCAGCAAACACATACAATCACATATATCCAGGTTTTCAATAAGAGTATTCGCCTATTTTATTTTTTCCTAGTTACTGCCACAGATCACGTATAATAAGTACAAGGTAAAGATCTGGAGCTGTTACATGCCTTCCTCTATCATCACTATGCTTTCTAAACAAGTTGGATAAAACCAGGTCAGGCACAAGATGGCAAACTTGGAAGCGTGAAAGCTTTCGTGAGAAGGTACTCTATATCTGAAGCACCGTTTGGACTTTTCAGAGGACTGGCATGACATGACAGACCTGAACAAGGAGTGCTCTAAGGACATTCGGTTTTTCACCTTTCTTCCAAGTTAGGTCTCAATTTTAAATCCAGTTAAGGGCTACAGTCCTAGCAACCACAGATAGCTTTGTAATGCTGAAGGAAAGAACAGCATGGTCTATGGTTACTTGCTGTGCTGTATTAGTGAGTAGTGACAGCAATTTTCCATGACACAGTAGAGGATGACTGATGGAAAAATAGTTTCACCACTGGACACAGAAGCATTTTCAACAGTTCAAAAGTAACTAAACAGAATCTGCCTGATCATTTATCTATTAAAAAGCATTAAGTCACATATTCTGGAGATAAAGACAGGTAAATCCTGACAAGACCAAAACAGCTGGGGAGGAGGCAAAGGAAGGCTGTGGAGAATTCAAGCTGTGGAACAGATAGAGAAAACAAAGGTTTGTGCTGGTGTGGAGGGAAGAAGCTTGCAGGAGAGATGTCTAGTTGCTAAACAAAAAAATTAATCTAATTCCTCCGAAGGACAGGGATATCTGCTTAATTAGCACAAATCCAAAACAGAATTATACTCACTTAATACAAATTTAACCTTGCCCATATCATATGGTGGATGCATACAAACTCCTGCATTCAGGCACTAGCATCCACCCTTCTGTGAGGCTTTTTTTGTTGATGGTATTTTGGTTTTACTCCCCACAGCTTGCAAATGCTTTTCCTGATATGTAGTGATATGCAGCTTTCTTCCTCTCAGTCTTTCACTGCCTTGTCAATTATCATCCCATCAAGGATCTTACATCTACTTATTAATGGTTATTTTTCAGTGCAGAGATGACAGTACTTAAGACTAACATTCTTTTCCTCCCAACCCCGATAACACATGGATTGTTGAGTAAGAACAAGCCTCCTTTTCTGGATTGTACATAAGCCAATGTGAATTGTTATGGAGATTTTAAATATATTTTGGTTTAAAAAACCCAACTTCCTAATAGTGAGCAAAAGGCACTAACCTGTAAGATAAACCCAGGCTGTTTGTTTAATTTTTTGTCAGTATTTCCTGACGTGTTAACTTTCTAACAGCAGTCCTCATAGTGCCTGAAACATTGCCTGTCTCACTACCTGGTGACAAAGGCAACAAACTTCAGACCCCGGAATTTTAAACTCAAAAATCTTCCCTAATAATGTCTCTATCAATTACACTACTCTTGCACTGCTTAAAGAAATGGGGAGTGCGAACCATGTACTCCAATAAGGTATTTTTCTCATTTACTTTGTACCTCCAACAGTGTCTGCAATAGCAAATAGGTTACTAATGCACATCAACTCAAAATAATCTGTAATTTAGAGCCAAAGTTACATTTCAAAATATAATCACCAGTTTCTGGAACTGTGAAGATCCAGAAACATACTTGAATTGAAACCATGATAGGTTTAGACAAAGGAAAGATCATAGACTGTTTTTTTACTTGGCTGTAAAGAAGCAAAATGGCAACTTAGAAATCAAATCATAACTGTACTCAGGAATATTATTGTTTGCCAATAGATATGAAACCTACTAAGCAATCAGCTACTATCTAGGAAAACCAAACCCAAGCCCATACAACTCCCACCCCCCCAACCCAGCCTCTGAATTACTCAATTAGTAAACAAAAGGACACAACAAATTCCCAAAAGCTTCCAATAATCTTCTCTAACATTTCTCAGCAAACCTTTTGTTCTTTTTCCCACCATTACAGTAACACTTAACCTGCACTTAATGAAAAGTAGTACATCCAGTACACTCCACTACTGAAACTATTAATTCATCCACTAGTTAAAAACTTGCTGACTACTCTACCATTCCCAGAGGTTTTGTTTATTAAGGACAGGCCAAAATTTGTTTTGTATATTAGCATAAGATGTGCTTTCAACAAAAAAGCATCAAATATATGACATATATATTTGCATTAGCAGCTACCACACTACAAGTGACTTTAACTTTTACTGACTTCAATTGCTGCAAAGGGCTTACATTAGCAAGGTTCCACTTTGTAACTGACTGTCTTCCTACCACTCTGGAAACCAACATCCTCAGCCTACAGACTCAGCTTTTAATTACATTACTCATGTAACAACAACGTTCTGATTCTGATGGAGACTCCTGGATACAACACTCACATCGACACTGAATGAAGGCGACAGTAAAGCTGTCTCCATCAAACAGCCTTCATTACACAGTTGTTCAGTTCACTGTGTGTATGACAGATAATTATTTCAGCCACCAGCTATTACTCCTGTACAAGAACAAAATGAAGCAGCCAATCCTCGCCGAAGCCCACAGCCATAGTGTTGACAGATTAATCTCTCCAGGCTAGGCCTGACTATACAACACCGCTGGATTGCAGGAAGGCAGATTTGCCATTTGAGTCTCCTAAAAGTTTCCACACTAAAATTTGTTGAATGAGAAAATGTGAATGAGATTTTCCCAAGTTAATGAACTGTATGAAAATGAACAAACCTTAAATTAATTTTTAAGACTCACTACTGGGATATTCCATTGACTAAAGAAAATACCAGCTCAGTTATAATATCTACCAGCTTTTCAGTAGCAGTTATTTCTCGTACATTACAGAAGCACTATTTCATTTTAAGGATTTATTTTATTCATAACATTAGCTATTTACACTGATGCCAGCCTTAATAAAGCCAGCAGATATTAAAGTGTAAAATCGTATTGTTATTACAGTGGTCTACAAGATTTATTTGGAAGCTGTTTAACGTAGCAGATACAGCTTGCTTCACTCACTGGAATATGGAATTGTTAGTATTGAACAAAACTACTCCCAAAAGAACCTTTTACTCAATTCTCAATAACAAGAATCTAATAAGCTACTGTCTTGGTTTTTTTGCAACCCGTGAGAGAATACTGCCATACTCCACATCCCAATCAGGACTTTTGTCAGAAAATTGTTTATTAACACACAGGCACAAAGTTCCTATAGGAAACTAGGTTTTGTCTAACACAAGGTTTTGTGTTTTCTCTTAGAAATTTGCCCCATTTTCTACGTCGTGCCAGAACATTTCAGTTGCTTTCCTTAACTCCTCATCTAAGGCACTTAGTCTTCAATGACCAAGTGGGCAGCCTCAGCCAGGAGTAAGCTAGCTTGCCCCATGTGAGAGACCCATCTTTCAGGATTGTTAGTTACAAAGCTAGTGTTTATGCTCAAACCTCAGAGATACTAAATCTGCTGCCATAAATTCTTAACCCATCGTTACTGGTACGTTCTAACACAAGATGTTTTCATACTATTTTCCCCTCTCTTTCTCACTTGAAATTTGATGCCACCATTTCTTTATAGATGTGCTTCCCAGCTTGCAAAGGCCATTCATTTATATGCACCAGCTCTTCAGTGTATGCATAAGGACTGCCTAAGCTTTCCTACCTAATAAATCACATACCAAAATTGTCAAGCAATGAAGACTGGAGGGAAAGGGAAGGTACAGGGAGTACTGGCTAGCAGCCAAGATGGGATGATAGCTCACCAGCTTACTCCGTCACTGGTGCACAAAGAAAGGCTGGACCTTCTGCTGGTGGCTAGGTCAGGACCCAGACCTACTGGCTTCAGCAGCTCTGCTGACTTGATTCCTTTGACATCTGGAGATTTGGATTACCTACATCCAATTACTCTACTCTTATGCTGTACAGCTCCACTGTAAAACTTACACCTTAGCCATCTGTAAGCTGCACATCACTCAAGAGCCTTGGTCACCTCCACTCTGGGCAGACATGCTGAGCTGTGCTGTAGTGCCTTGTTCATATAAGGAACACAACATTTTAGTGTTCTGATCAAACCACACTATTACTGTACAGTCTATTCTTAACACAGCCCAGTCACACAGGCAAAGGCAAGCACTGGGAGAAAGGAAAACTGCCCACTGTAGCAGAAGGTCTGGTTCATGACCATTTAAGGAATCTGAAGGTGGATGAAGTTGCTAAGCCACTACCCATCATATTTTGGAAGTCATGGCAGTCCAGTGAAGTTCCCAGCAACCAGAAAATGGGAAACATAACCCCAATTTTTAAAAAGGGTAAAAAGCAAGACCCAGGGAACTACAGGCCAGTGAGTCTCACCTCTGTGCCCAGCAAGATCATGGAGCAGATCCTCCTGGAAACTGTGCAAATGCACATGGAAAATAAAGAGGTGACTGGTGACAGACAGCATGGCTTCACTAAGGACAAATCGTGCCTGACAAATTCCATGGCCTTCTACAATGGGATTACAGCATTGGTGGATAAGGGAAGAGCAACTGACATCATCTACCTGGACTTGTAGAAAGCCTTTGACACTGTCCTGCATGACATCCTGGTCTCTAAATTGAAGAGACGTGGATTCGATGGATAGACCACTCGGTGGATAAGGAACTGGCTGGACAGTCGCACTCAAAGAGTTGTGGTTATCAGCTTGATGTCCAAGTGGAGACCAGTGAGGAGTGGTGTTCCTCAGGGGTCAGTGTTGGGACTTGTACTGTTTAATGTCTTTGGTGGCAACATGGACAGTGGGATTGAGTGCACCCTCAGCAAGTTTGCCAACAACACCAAGCTTTGTGGTGCGGTCGACACGCTCAGGAAAGGGATGCCATCCAGAAGGACCTTCAGGCAGGCCTGTGTGAACCTCATGAAGTTCAACAAGGACAAGTACAAGGACCTGCACATGGGTTGTGACAATCCCAAGCACAAATACAGGCTAGGAAGAGATTGAATTGAGAGCAGCCCTGAGGAGAAGGACTTGGGGGTGCTGGTGGATGAGAAGCTCAACTTGACCCAGCAATGTACGCTTATCCCAGAAAGCCAACTATGTCCTGGGCTGCACCCCCAGCAGCGTGGGCAGCAGGGCGAGTGAGGGGATTCTGACCCTCTGCTCTGCCCTGGTGAGACCCCCCCAGGAGTCCTGCATCCAGCTCTGGAGCCCCCAGCACAGGAGACATGGAGCTGTTGGAGCAGGGCCGGAGGAGGCCACAAAAATGATCAGAGGGATGGAACACCTCTGCTGTGAGGAAAGGCTGAGTTGGGGCTGTTCAGCCTGGAGAACACAAGGCTCCAGGGAGACCTTAGAGCAGCCTTAGGAAGAAATTCTTCACCATGAGGGTGGTGAAACACTAGAACAGGTTGCCCAGAGAAGCTGTGGCTGCCCCCTCCCTGGAAGGGTTCAAGGCCACGTTGGACAGGGCTTTGAGCCACCTGGTCTGGTGGAAGGTGTCCCTGCCCATGGCAGGGGGGCTGGAACTGGGTGATCTGTAAGGTCCCTTCCAACCCAAACCATTCTATGGTTCAGCAATAGCAAAAGACAGCTTGAGTGTCAAGTTTTTCCCTTGCTCAGCTACAATAAAAGGATTCTACTTCATATGTGCACTCAGGAAAACACAAATATGGACAAATTGTCTGGCTCTCATGCAAACCACTCATCTATTTCAAACAATTAAAAACTAATGACTCTTGTATTTACATAAATATAAACAGAGAAGTGGGACAAATGAGGAGGGAGGAAGCGATAAGCATCCTACTTGCTTCCCCAACACTGGTCAAGTCTTCCTCACCTGCACCAAAGAAACATGTAAGAGGATCACAAGAAAGGGAGAAGTACAAGACACAGACTTATTTAACATGATATATCAGTGAAAAATAAAACGAAAAGCTTCTTACCGGCATATTGTTTTTGCTATCAGGACAACTTTCATCCTTTTCCACTTGAATCTGCTCCTGACTTCCTGATTCTATAAGGTTTTCAACTGGGTCTGTATCTTTCAGTTCAGCTTCTGAACCTTTCATCTCATCAGTTTCATCTTTTACAGTAAGAATATCAGACATCCTCATTAGAAAAGGTTATTTTAAAATTCTACAAGAAGTATGGAACCTTCAGGACAAAGAAAAAGTGCATCACTGAGTAATTCTAAGTTAACTAAAAAAAAAAAAAATCACATACCTAAACAGCTACCCAAAATAAACATAACTTTGCTGCAAAAAGGATTCCCCCTCCTGTTATTTTTTCCTGTCTTGTATAAGAGGGAAAGTGATCATCATCTTTTTAACCACTTTTATCAAGACGCTTATAATAACAGATATCTATACAAACGAGAACTGAGCTACACTATAGGATAATGCTTGTAGATTTTCCCTTCTGTATTTTAAAACGAACACCTGAACATTCAGATTCTCCACACCAAACTAGGTTCCAACAGAAATAGAATTTTTTGCTCATTTGAAAGGAAAAGAGAATTATATATTTTTTTTTAAGGGCTGAAAGTAAATAGATGAATCATAACACACCTAGTGTGCGAAGATTCATGAATTTCATTAAAACTTTAAATTTCCCGGTTGCCAGGTAACAACTGGACAAGGTCTGAATGCAGGAACGATCTTGCCTACTAAACGTAGCAAAACTAGTCTTAATAAAATTAAGCACTCTCTCAAAAGCAACAAAGAAGAAAGAGACAGCTTTGGTAATATGGGTAATAACAACCATTATCAGTAACTATTGTAATAATAATAATTTTAAATACTATATAAAGATAACTTTAACAATTAAAGCTATAACAGAACGACTTCAGTTTTTCTTTAAGAAATACAATTTCTTGTCATTCATTACTCAGCTACAGTGCTAGACGTAAAAACAAGAATTTTATATTTCTTAAGAGAGATAAAAAGTAAGATCTAAATGCTTAAAGCCCCTCACAGAAAACAAATAACAATCAAATAACTTTATGAAAATGTCTAAGCAAATATCTGGTTTAATACCTGATATGTCCTACAGTTTGGGGATTGTGGTGTCCCACAAAAATACAATAAAATAATCCAAAGTTTCTTTTCACAGTTGTCATCCAAGATGTCAGTTGTAATGAACCATCTGGAATCTGGCAGGAGGAGTCCCATGTCCTTATCCCCAGTATAGAGTCCCGGACAGAACTATGTTGTCTTGAATCAGCAAGAACATCCCTTTCGAATGCCTGAAAATCAACAAAGGAAACACATGATACTTCTGTTCAGTGTGGGAGGGGAGAGGGAACATGACACACCCAAAAACTGAAATAGTCATTTCAAGAAACAAAAGCACAGAAGAAATCAGCATTTGTCATATCTATTTATTCTACTTACTTTACCTAACAGTAGTAATATTTTTCATTAGACTACCAAGATATTTCTGTATTACAGAGTTAACAAGGAGTCATAACAAACATTTTGCTGGAATTCCTAGTGAATCTGTTTCTATAAACAAGCAGGTACTTTCCAGAAGAGTCTCAAAAGACAGTCTGAAACAAGCAGCCCAGCAGATGTGGAGGAGTTATAGGCCATGCAAGCTCACAAATCCCTGTTAGCATAACAGCATTTTTCTCTTTGTCATAGTTAATAATCTACAAACACAATACATAATCCATATTTTAGGCAACTTGAATTACAGAAGGCAATTTTATTTTATTCAACAGCATAACTGCCCTTGAATGAGGATTTACAATTTTCTACAATTTTCTACAAAACTGACAACGATCCATCTCCCCTCTTCTCCCGACTTGCTTTTTTGTGAAATAAGTAATATCACCACCCACAACGAATTATGCATTTGAAGTGGCAGGCAACAAAAGACATCTAAAAGCAAACAAAACGTAACCTATGAGCACAGCAAAAATACCCTAAAGCAAAAAACACAAATAACTATATTTCAAACCTGTGAAAGACATAATGAAATAAAATAGCTGAAAAGTATCTCTGTATGGCATTCCCCAAACACTTTTCCCACGACTAGTCGGGGGCTTACTAAATCCAGCACAAATTGTAATAAACACCAAGAATACCTTCTGTCACCTCAGTTGAACTACTTAATTTCTGAGTAACAGGACAATTAGTATTGTTTCGTGAAAGCACACAAACAAGTGAAAAACATCAGAATTGTCTGAAGTCAAATTAAGAGACAAATGAGACATTTATTCCATGGTTATATGATTTTAATTGATGTAGGTGAAGTATCTGCCCTAAACTGTCCTCACGTGAAATGAAGAGTTGCACTACATGCAGGAAGAAAGGACTGAAAGATAAGCTGTGCAAGACCTTAGTGTCTCCAACAAGTTTCATCTTATATGAATGAATTTGAAAGCATTTAAGCATTCTGCAGTATGAGGTCACTAGAAAGCAATTAATATCAACATTACAAGGTGAGGCTGTGACAATGCCCAGCCTTTTATCAGTTTTAATGTTTTGTCAATGTAATAAGTCAAAGAGTTTAATATAAAATAACGTTAACAGAAAACTAGCTAAATATAACACTGACTTTACACGAGAGAAAAGCCATATCCTGTTTGAAGAAAAACCTGCAGAACCGAAGATGGGAAGTAGGATTTACAATGAAAAAAAGAAAGCAAATACTTTATATTCTCTACATTCCACAGCGGTATGACCAGCTCGTATTTAAATTGCAGTATCATTATGTGTATACAAAACAATCTCTTGATTCCTTCCCAGAAGACAACCGTAAAAACAGCAGAAAGCAACACTTCAGAACATATACGCACATAAAGAATGAGTAATATACTTCCCTCTTATCCCCAAATAAACCCTGGCAAAGAGTTTTGGTTAAGAAGAATTTTAAAATATCATTTAAACAGAATGCAGCACTTAATACCTCTTCCTTAAGTGCTAAGATAACTTAATTCATCATAAATAGCAACAACTCTGAGAACACCTCGTCGTGCTGAACTGCTCCCTTGGTACTACTGAGAAGACTGCGATGGTGTGAAACAGCAGCACAACATCCCACAGACTTCCAGGTTTCCTTGCAGGTGAGATTAAAGCCTGGCTACAATTAGTTATTTAGATCCAAAGAAACGTATTGTTTGATAAGAGACATGAGATACTATAGACATTTTGACTTAATAAATGTACTGTAAAGAAATATGGAAAAGAAAGATAAAAGATGGGCTGTGATTCAGGCCTGTAAAAGACCCTGCTTACTGAATCTAATGGAGGGGAAAAGATCTTGCTGCCATGCTTCAAGACAATGTCTCTCTCTCTCTTTCCTTCCTCTCTCAAGGTCGCTGAGATGAAAGAACAAACTGGAAATAAAAAGGTGCAGAAATGCTACAAAAGGTTATGCAGTACTGTTCGGTTGCTGAGTTAGTTTTTCCAGACAACCCAGATGGTGATTTAAGACTTATGAAGAAGCTCACATTAACAACCTTTACTGTAAGCAAGACTTGAATAGAGATGCTGTTTGATTTTATTGACTGACATATGATTTGTACTGTAGAGAAATGTTATAAAAGACTACAGGCTGAAGACAGGAAAAAAACCCCATGTATGTCCAGTTGCAAATGTAATCTTGGAAATTAAGTGTAATTTAACTGCTACTCCCTATACAAGTCACAAATGTAGTAACCGCAATCAACAACTTGAAGGGTTTTTTAATTCTATCAAATTCCCCAAGAGCTCCTGTCCCTTCGCAACACCATTTAATAACAAAAAAGAAGAAATCAGAAGACTCAGCAAAACTCACGCTGCAAACATATGTCCTTGCCTTTGCCAGTCCAGTAAACTGATGCACAAGAACAAGTCCTTATATTTTCTACAACCTAATTCCAAACTAGCTTATAACTTGTTATGAACAGATTTTTCACCTGCAATAAAGACTGGAGATTTTGTGCTACGTAACCTGCAGTGAAAGGGACAGAATCAAGGAAAACCTACATAGTTTCAATTCACACAAAACAGTATTTTTTTTTGTTTTATACAATGTAGCTATTCGGAATCAACTGGAATCACTACACACATACCCAAGAGTAAATAACAAATGTAGTGCTTCAGATTAACAGCAAAACACACATAGAAGAAAAATGAATTTTTGCTTACCTGATTTTTTTTTTTCTTTTAGTAATAACAGCCATAGATTCACTGAAATTGGTAAGGCAACCTTGTGTTTGTGACCCACAACAGTGAGATACTAGTATTCAGGTAACATTCCATCCCTGAAGTTTCCTCTAATTTAGACAATTTTCATAGCTGGGATAATTTGGTTCTAGTTTCTAAACTTGCATAGAGTGGATTAAAAAAGACTTAAGAAATTGTGTGTGCTGCAAACTGAAGGGGGGTACAGACCGCAGTCCATCCTTACAAATCCCACCTCTTTCACCTCCCCATATATTTGGATGTTAATTTCTTGTGTCCCATGCAGGACAGTAAAAAGGAGAAGAAAGCAAGAAGGCAGGCCTTAAGACTTGCTCTACTATTTGGAGAGCAAATAGGTTCTAGTAAGCAAACTGATTAAGTGGATTTACACCAGATCTGAACACTGACCACAGACTGGATGACCATATAGACCAATATAGATTAGTAGATTTTATTAAGAGGGACGTGGTACCTCTGTCCTGAAATTATCCAAACAGTTGAAAGGATTGCATATGAGGTATAGAACATTACCTGGTTTTGCCCTTAAAAATTCAAACAGCTCACAACAGGTTTCATTAACAAAGCCTTCCAATTTTAGTGTATTTTACAGGTGACAATAATAGGCACCTACTTTAACAGACAGGAAGTACAAGGACTTGTACGTAAGAGTGGAGGATAACATGTCATATTTATCTTCTTTAACCTTCGGGATTGTGGTCTCCATCTAAACACTTACTGTTGAAATGTATGTTCTCCCCTTTCTTCATATGGGTAAAACTATACCACCACCATTCATCCTAAATTCTATTAATTCTCTTTCTGAAAAGTGGTAACCACTTTGTCTAGACAACTACTCTGAATTTGCCCCTTTTCAGAGGGAAAAATTGCCATTATCAGCTGTAAGATGGAAGTCTAGTACTATGTAGGCATATGCTTTTCAGTCA